AAGGGTTCACTATTATTGAGCTATTACTTCCACGATAAATCTGCATCGATAGATAATATAAAATTATTTTCTTCATAGTTCAAAATTGTCTATTAAAATGCTTAAACAGCCTTCTATTGTTAGGTACGCCTACTGCTTTTGCATTGTTTTCCATTCGTCTCGTTTGGCTGACTTTTGTATGCTTCAAATGTCGATAGGAAAGTTTTCCTTTTCTTACTAAATATGAGAGAAAATGTTGGCGAACATTACATGTCAGCTATAGTACACCAGCTTCATTTATAAGCGAAGCACATGGGAGATCGAACAGATTATTCCTGCCATTCCTGCGTTTTTCAGTTCACTGATTATTAAAAGCTAAATTGTACCAATCTTAGTAAACACATCTGTTCATCACGCGCGAGAACACTCTGATATTGGACTGTTTTAAGTTTAAATATTTCGTCCAACATAGACACTGGTTTTACTTGTAAACAGAGAACCGATAAAACGTCGCCTTCTATTAAAGAAAAAAATATAGAAGATACAGAAACAGCCCTGATACCAATAAGCCTTTCATTTTTTTTTCCGGAGGTAATTTTCTCTGGTTGGGTAAGCATTTTCAAAAACACCACTTCCTTTGACGGAGAAGAAGGGACGCCACGCTATGAATGAATGCCTCTGTTCAATTTAATTTCGCGGCGTCGTCCCAGTGAGATTTCATCGCGTCCGATGCGCTTTCTGGACTCTAAAAGCACAAAGTCTATAAGGAATAGTGTCACTGAGTGCATCAGAGAAGCTTTCTGCTTCCCTTAAACTCTTTGTCCTTCCAAGGCAGCCAAAACAACCATGGATACGCTAGAATACTGTTCATTTACAATACGTGCTCTGCCCCAACTAATCAATTATTCGGCAAACACACAAGGAATGTTAAACAATCGCTGCTAGAAACACAAAGAGAAATAGAAAACAAAAAATTGAAAAGAATAAAGCACCTCAGTGGGTCCTGAGCGTATTAACAACATAGCTATTTTTTAGCCCAGGTTGGGTGGTTGAGTGGGCAGTAGATAGAACCACAAAAAGAAAACACTCATCTGTCACCCAGTCCTTAAATTATCTTTCGATGTTTTTTTTTTCTCTGAGAGCGCAGCGATGTCAAGTTTAAATGTCAAAAATCGAGAGCAAAGCTTGATTTTGCCTTACATTAAAAAAATAGTGCTATTCGTACATGGATCAGTGCTTTGAAAACCGTTTTCTACGCGAAAAAGTATTTTTACACAACTTTTTGTTTCTAGAAGGATGCCTTTGAATTCTGCATGTAATTACATAATTTTCTTTTGGTCTCAATCACTCATGCGAAGACCCTCCTACCCAATTGTAACTTACACTTAAATGGATCACAACCAACTCAGTCACTGAGCCATTTTTCAGAGGTACCAAGAACTTTTTCAAGTAAAACTTCAACCGAATTAACATTTTGGTAGTATTTTTTGCGTTATGATGACCCAAAGAAACACATGATGATGCAGAAGAATACGCCATTGAATAATACAGAATTTTTTACGAGTCAATAAATACGGGTCTTTAAAAAATTTGCATATAGAAAAACACACGCCTAAATCTACCGCCACAAATACATCCAAATCCTCGCGAACAAAATTACACACCATCAGACAGACTTAGCCCAATCTTTTTCTGTGGAAATAACCAGTGTGCACTGGTAAATTTGGCGGATTAAACTTCTTTAAAACATTTCGGCAGAGTTTTTTACGCATGCCTGGTTAAGAAAAAAGGTTTCTTTGTATAAGTGGCTTTCGGCGTGCAAACAAAATCGACATTTTTTTAAAAGCAAAGGACGCGTTTTACAGCTGGGTGGTAATGTATGCAAGTATTTTCAATAAAAGAACATCATAGAATGACCCCAGGATTAGTTCTGAATGTTTGGCGTCCTCGCACGGTCTACAACTTTGAAGAGACTATAAGCTCGCTCCACGATGACTCGTCTTGCTGTTCTTGGAATTTTGCTGATCGTTTTTCTTGCAAGCATTGATGCTTTCCCTAAAAGTAGGCTTGATGTACGAGGTAAGTTTATTCGTAAAAAAGATGTGTTTGATTACCTATATCGAAAAATCTGGAATCAAAGTTCTCCAATCAGCAGTTACACCCTTCTCCTAGGTTAGAGTGAAACGATGGATTCGCAAACTTAAACACACCTCTACCGCGCCCTGCAGTCGAATTTTAGCTCCTGCAGTTTTACTGGATGCAAAAGATGTTTTAGGTTTAAGCTCAAATCATCCAAATTGTGAGCTAAATTAAAAACAAGATAAATTATGTAAGCGAAGTTAAAATGATTGTTTCTGAAACAGCTAGTCAGGCTGTTTCCTTTGCTTGTTTAATACGATTAAGCCGATCTCATAGTTTGGAGTAAGCATCAAAAATATATTTGCGATTTATTTCCTTGCTCAGTGGTGTCTAACGTAATGGAATTTTAATTGACTTAGAGCATTTACGCCAATAAAGAAATTAATCGAAGAGTTTTATAGACCCCTCTGCCTAGAGACTTCTGTTCTGTCATTTTTTTGCATACGTAGTCGTGACTCGTCGAATAAGATCGAATCCATGATTTGCAGACGAAAAATGCGAAGCCAACCCACATGACAATTTAGGGCGAAGAACATACTTAATGGCTGTTCAACCGGAAAGCTTATGCACTGAGCTGTGTTAGCTGACGCGATTTCTCTTAAAAAAGAAAAAAAGAAAAGAAAGATTTTAATAGTGATTACTTGCTGAAAAGAAGATGATTTTAAATACTATATTTTTCAACTGGACCGTAAGGAAGCATGAAGTTGAAGATTGACTCAGCAAACCAGCATTGTTCTTTTGGGTGTGCCGAGCTCTTTTCAATATTCTCTCATGTCATGGTTAAATTATCAGGAGTCGCATGTTTGGAGGACTGGTGCGAACGACATAAAGAATTGCAGGGGTAGGGTAGCCAACAGAGTAAACGATCACATATTTCGAAAGACCAGTGGTCCCGATCCGTGGCCCTAATTTCGGGTTTTATAACATCCTTTTTAAAATCACTGACAATCCTTGTAATCTGATTAACTCTCAGTAGAACGATTTCTTCACAAATTGCATTACTCTTTGCTCTAAATCACAAGCCATCGTGTGGCAACTTTGTAACATTTTTTTGTCCCCAAGACTTTTCGTTTTCTTTCACCGCTTCTTTTTTAACAAACCTGCTCAGTAATAGGTCAATAAAATATTTGTACTGACCAAAATCCTGTATCTGGGCGAATAAATTTTTCAATTTCAAAATGGATGTAATAAAGGTAATTTTGGTCCGATATCATACTCATAATCTCAAGTAATGAAAAGGACGTCAGAGCGTTCAATTTATCTCTGTAACAAGACAAAATACACAAATTTATCCATAAAGTAACCAACACCACGAGAGGCTAAGGTTTGGGAATTAAAGAACAATTTGACTCAGAATACCCGAAATTTTAACAGGGACAATGACAATAATGAATGTTATGGACAAATAACACGCGAGGAAACCTTCAATTCACATAAACTTGATTTTCAGAAGGGTTCTCATTGAAATAAAGTCTACGAAACTTCCGAGCAATGACATTTAAAATAGAAACCAGCAATCTAAAAGTGCGAAAAAGCTACGAAAAGTAACATTCGGCAACAAAAGCCTGCAGTTAGAATTTAAGGGAAAAATCAACGAGCAACCTTGAATTCTCCTTTCATAGGAAAAAGGTACAAAGTTGAACAGGCATAATGACGAGCTGAGAGTAGCCTGATGACAAAGGAAGCAACTCTGAAAACTACTTGTATTCTCTACATCATGCTCGTAGTTGACCTACAGAAATTTCAAAGGCTTTCTTGCATAGGTGAAAGCAGGCGCGTAGGAGGGGGGATTCGAAGGGTTCGAACGAACCCCCTTTGAAGTTCGATAATGGCGGACTGAAATACAAATGATTATAACTGACAACACCAGAGAGGCCGTTTTAAAACAAAATAAAAACAGTTTCGATTTGCCTAAAATGGGTCTCAAAATGCGGGAAATTGGGTTTCAGAGAACCTACATTTTCAAAATTTTCCATCCCCCCTAAAAGTGCAAATTACATTTTCAATCACATACGAACACCCTTTGGAAAACCTCAGCTACGCGCCTGGGTGAAAGGCAATAGTGCTAAATTCAGCCCTAGTAGCAACGAAGATTACTTTCACATCGAAAAAAGAAAGATTGGTCGAGTCGCTCGTTACCTTTGTATTCGGAAAGACAGAGCCTAACATACTCTCACAGGCAGGGGTCGCTTGGCCTTAAAATTGCTATTTCCCTAGCTTCGGAAGAATTTTCAGTTTAGTTTTGGAAGTCAATCCACGACTGCATTGCTTTTGCCACATTACACTCTGTGATTGGTTACAATACCATTCAGAAGAGAAACTGAATCAGTCTTCGATCTGCTACCAACGTTTTCTTCCCATAAAGCCAATTACCTGGGTTAAATTTGAGTTTCCTTTGGTTTACCTGTTGATGGTTAGGATAACGTTGAGTTTTGTGTCAAGATTCTTTTTCAACGCTCGAGAAATTAATTTGAAAACTTTATGACCTGTGTTACTCAAGTAAAAAATGTTTTGTTATTATATTGAAGGGAAAAGCACAGTGTATAGAGGACAGTTATCCCTGAAGAATGTAGATCGGCGACTGTCTGAAATTGAAAGAATTAAGATGATGATGGATGAGATAGAGAAAGAGGAAGTGAGCAATGATGAAGCCGAGGAAGAGAGTGGAGAGAAAGAAGAGGAAGAAGAACAAGAAGAAAAAGGGGAAGAGGAGGAAGAAGAGGAAGAAAAAGAAGGAGAAGAGGAGGAAGAAGAGGAAGAAAAAGGAGAAATGAAGAGGAGGAAGAAGAGGAAGAAAAGAAGGAGAAATGGAAGAAGAGGAAGAAGAAAAAGAAGGAGAAGAGGAGGAAGAAGAGGAAGAAAAAGAAGGAGAAGAGGAGGAAGAAGAGGAAGAAAAAGAAGGAGAAGAGGAGGAAGGAGAGGAACAAGTAGAAGGAGAAGAGGAGGAAGAAGAGGAAGAGGAGGAAGGTGAGGAAGAAGAGGAAGAGGAAGAAGAAGAAGGTGAGGAGGAAGAAGAGGAGGAGGAAACGGAAGGTGGAGAAGAAGAAGAGGAGGAGGAAGAAGAAGGAGAAGAAGAGGAAGAGGAGGAGGAAGAAAATGGTGAGGAGGAAGAGGAGAAGGAAGAAGAAGCTGGCGAGGAAGAAGAGGAAGAGGAAGAAGAAGAGGGTGAAGAAGTTGAAGAAGAGGAAGAAGAGGAGGGTGAAAAAGAAGAGGAGGAAGAGGAAGAGGAAGGGGAAAAAAATGAAGAAACAGAAGAAGAAACCGGAGAGGAGGAAGAGGAGGAGGAAGAACAAGAGGGAGAAAAAATGGAGGAACAAGAAGAGGAAAAAGGTAAAGAGGAGGAGGAGGAAGAAATAGAAGAAGGAGAAAAGGAGGAAGAGGAAGAAATAGCACAAGGCAAAAAAGAAATGGAGGAAAAAATAAAAGAGGGCAAAAAAGTGGAAGAGGCAGAGATAGAGGAAGGTGAAATGGAGGAAGAAAAAGAAATAGAAGAGGGCAAAACCCAAGAAGAAAAAGAGATTGAAGAGGGTGAAAAAGAAGAGGAAAAGGAAATAGAGGAAGGTAAAAATGAGGAGGAGAAAGAAGAAGAGGAAGGTGAGAAAGAAGAAGAGGAGGAGGAAGAGGTTGGTGAGGAAATGGAGGAGGAAGAGGAAGAAAAGGGAGAAGAGCAGGAAGAGGAAGAGGAGGAAGAGGGAGAGAAGGAAGCTGAGAAGGAAGAAGAGAAGGGAGAGGAGGAGGAGGAAGAAGAAGAGGAAAAGGGTGAGGAGGAGGAGGAGGAAGAAGAGGAGGCTGGTGAAGAAGAGGAGGAAAAGGAGGAAGAAGAAGGTGAAGAGGAAGAGGAGGAGGAAGAAAATGAAGGTGAAGAGGAGGAAGAGGAAGAAGAAAAGGAGGGAGAAAAGGAGGAAAAGGAGGAGGAGGAGGAAGGTGAAAATGAAGAGAAAGAGGAGGAGGAGGCAGGTGAAATGCAGGAAAAAGAGGAGGGAGAAATGGGTAAAGATGAGGAGGAGAAGGAGGAAGAAGAAGGTGAAAAGGAAGAAAAAGAGGAAGAAGAGGAAGGTGAAGAAGAAGAGAAAGAGGAAGAGGAAGAAGGTGAAAAGGAAGAAGAAGAGGAAGAGGAAGAAGGTGAAAAAGAAGAAGAAGAGGAGGAGGAAGAAGGTAAAGAAGAAGAGGAAGAGGAAGAGAAAGAAGGTGAAGAAGAAGAGGAAGAGGAAGAGAAAGAAGGTGAAGAAGAAGAGGAAGAGGAAGAGAAAGAAGGTGAAGAAGAAGAGAAAGAAAAGGAGAAAGGTGACAAGAGAAAGCGCTCATCTAAACGTCTTGCACATACCCAAAAAAGGTTAAACTAGGGAAGATTCTACAAGAGGCAAAGAATGAACTGAACTCTTAGCTAAAAATTTCTCAAAAACACTCTTAAGTCTAGCAAACATTATGAACACTGCTGCAAATAATATTTACTAATTTGTTCACTGCATGACATTTTTAAGCCAAAGACATATCTGAGAAGATAATTAGGTCACTTCCTACACTTTCTTTAACTGCTCATCCATGAGTGTGTTAGCACATTAATGGGACTCATCCCTAAAAAAAATGAAAACGGATAGAGTGGAGTCTCGGCATCTTAATCAAGTGGAATTTAAAAGACAGGTATGAGCTAAAAAAGTTCAAAATTTCAAGGATTCAACTACAGTGATATAAGTCTTAAAAGGGTACATCAGTACATGGAATCACAGTTTATTCACAACAATTGGAATTAAGATCATGGGGCTCCACTGTATGCACTTATTGCAACAATTGAGAGTTTTTTAAAACTATAAAAAAAAAAAAAAGGATGAGTTAATTACATCCTCAGCAGTCAAGTTGAAAAGGACCTCAGACCTCCAATTCAGAGGTGAGGATGTAAAGACACCTCAGAAGAACATCACAACCTTGCCTTTCATCAAACCTTCAAGGTTTGCACTAGCTAATTGATAAGTTTAATTCTATTTTTTTTTTTTTGGAAACAGAATTGCAATTACATGTACCTGAGACATACAAAAGAAACACAAAACAAACCAAAATTCATGGTACAGATACAGCTACAGATATCCATGTATTATTGTCCCTTCAGTTAATTTTTCATTTAAACAAAAAAAAATCCATGTTTAAGCAGTAGATGTCTTCTTTTGATAGATCTTTGAAATCTTTGACAGTTTTGCTCTTCAGTTAATGTTTAGTTGTTTGATTATACTGGTAAAAACCAAAATATTTTTGGTTTAATATTTTTTTCTACCTTTGGCAGCTTTTATTTTAAAAGTTGCACCTAAATTTGCATTAAGTTAACCTTCTGAATTTTTCTTATTTGAATTGTAAAATAATTAAATAACATTTTTAAATGTAATCTGGTTTAGTCTCTCTTTTGTGGAAAAAAAATGGGACAAGATCCTGGTGGGAAGAATGTGACAGTATTTGAGCAAATGCAAAATGAAAACCCAAATCTTAGAAGGAAAATGAATTTCGAAAAGGCTAGTCACTTGTTCTATAGGAGCTTATTGCATTTTCCAAAACATTAAGTAACAAGATATTTTGTAAAGGCTGCCGGTGCCAATCCAAGGCAGGTTACCTCAAACCATTTTCAACAATTTTTTCCACTCAGTTTTTTTGTTACCCACTCATACTTCTTGATAGAAAAGAGCATTATCAAAGTAAAATTTTTTGCCCAAAGCACACCACAATGAATAGGTCTCAAAACAAGATCTATCAATCTAGAGTCCAATAACACTTTTACTTAACTTGTGAAATGAATACTCAAATTCAGTCCATCATTTTTTTTGCCTGAAAAAAATTTGAAGTGTGGTGCCATAACTACAGTTGGTTTGTTACTCGAAAAATAAGTTGTATGCTCTTAACAGTTGGGAATGTCAGAGGAGAATAGGCTAAATCACCCAGGAAAATCTTAGTTAGTTCATATCCATTATAGGTTGTTAATATCTGAAAAAAATAGATGACTCTTCACAAAAATACAGCATGAGAGAACAAAAAATATAGAGAAATTGCAGCTACAACATCTTCAGTCTTCACCCAAACTAAACTGTGGAAGACAGAAATTATAAAAAGAATTTGATTTGAAAACATCATTATAGCTCTTCCATTGAACCCAGCCACTGTCTTGGATTTCTTTCCTAGCAGCCTCTCCATAGAAATGTGGATCCTGCAACAAACAAACCTTTTCCTTCAGTTTGATGATATTCAATGGCACTTTCAAAATCAACTTTTTTCTTTCTCTTCTATATGAACCAGACAGAAAACGGGAAACAGCCAGTGATTATTGACAGATGAAAAAGTATCTTACAGCAATTAAGAAGTGAAATGCTTTATTTGTCTTGCAAACACCAAGCAGTGTTTTGGATGAAGCATCAACATCTCCACCTAGAAACAGAAATGAAATTTAGAAAGGAAAATATTTGCAAAAGTCAAAAATAGAATGGCTAGATAGTAAAATTTTTGGGCCACTCCAAGTTAGAAAGAACTCTTTTTCAAAGCAATTTCTTTTTTCCTTGTTCCGGGAGGCAGTGTATCCAAGAGGTTGGGGTCATGGGGCCTGTTTCTTGCAAGTCCCAGTAACTTAGCAGCCCCAAAGCCATGTTTTAAAATCAAAATTTAAGGATTAGAAATGCAGGTTGTGGCTTCCTAACCAGTCCATCTTATTTCCTTGGCTGATGGTTTTATTTAACAATTTTCAGAACTTTTGACACCCCTTTCATGAATGAAAACAGAATTACCTTACAGGCCCATTAAGTCACCGAAACTTTCCAGAAACAGGCATCTTGTTCAAGCCCTCTGCCCTATTGCTCACTGGATTAGTTCTCAGATATCCAAAGACTAATTCATTAGCTTAGCTTGGTAAACAGCTAAATGGTCTTCCCACTGTCAGTTGGGGTTGTTTCTTTCAAATATATTTTACAGTGGCGTGAGAAGAGCCTTATAAGGGGAGTGATCAATTAAGTTATTAAGGGGAAAAAAACTAAATTAAAGACATCTAGTCACTGGTCAAGGGGGTATAAATATTAGAATATTCTCAAAGACGTGTAACATCTTTGCTCTACAATGCAACATACACAGTCAATAAACCCTCATGATAAGGCACACTTGTACACATGCCATACCCCTAATGTGGATGTAAATTGCTGGAAAAAATGTTCATCTTTTGATGAATGACATCCCAGAGAAGTTTCAATAGACTTGGAAAATGCAGTTTTTGCAATTATATCATTTAACCAATCAAACAACAACTTGCCTGGCTAGTTTATGAGTATGTTAAGAACCACATTAACAAACATGGAGTTGTTAATGGACTTAAAAGGCAACTCATGCTTGATCCACTAAAGCGCTATCATGAAGTATTACAATCTGTTTAAATATTCTGTTGAAATCATAACTTTACCTATCATTACAGGTGAACCAAAATGTTTAAAATGTTCCAGAAGAAATGGTGCAGCTTTCTGCTCCACAGATTCCCCTTGTAAAACATGAATGATCTTACTGCAAACCTGAAACAAGATCATCAGCATTATCAATTACTGGCAACCTTTTTTATATCTTTTCAAAAAAAAAAACCAGTTCATGACTGGAAACAAAATTTCAATTCTCTGGTAGTAAGCTTAACAGAGCATAGCAAAAAATAAGATAGCAAACTGAAATTCTTAAGCTAATCTTCACTATTTGCCAGCCAAGTTGTCTATAATCCATTTATCCCCCTTAATGAGTACTTGCCACACTCCTTTTTGCCCACAATTTTTATAAAAAAAATCAGGGGTGCAGCTTATCTGGAAGAACATCTAGAAGATGTGGGGCTAATTTGCATAAATCGACTCTATTCAACAAAAATTTGCAAGTCTGTTTAACACTCTAGCTAATGGTATATAGACAACAGTTTTCTTTGCTATATTTGAACCTTGAGCACTATATTAATTGTATGAGATATGTAATACAGATAGGAAGGTCTTTTGGCCTAAACTTTTAGAAATACAAACATTTTGTCCATCTGCAGTTTTGCTGACTTCTTCTCCAATGAAAAATCTTTATGATTATTTAACCTGTTTTCACTTTTGTTCCTTAAAATTAAAATGCCCATAAACACCATCACTTTACAACATTACTCAGCAAAGCTGGAAATGCAAAGCAGCCACACATAAAACACCACAAACATTGATAGTTACCTACTCCAAAAGTCTGATCCATGTAGAGACAGGCCTCTACACAGCCAATCCATTCTCTTGATCCCACAAAAGAATCTGGTTTGTCCCCCATTTTGACCAAAGTCTTCTGTATGTCTTGAAGGCTGGGCACTGGATGATTCTGAATCTCCAATACATGACCCATCCAAGAACAAATGGTCTGCAGTGTCCTATATCCACATCCCCAACCCTTCAATACAAGCACAAAACATTTGAATGGCATATAAATATGACTCATCACTTACTGGGGGAGGGGGAAAGCTGGTAACAAAGAGGTACTTAGGAGAGTGGATTTAGCAGGGGGGATCATGAAAACATGCCCTTCACGAGAGGGAGGGTCAGGGCTATTTGAAATTGGCTATTTTTACCAGTCTTCCTCCTATTTGTGAGCTTTTAGCTACATGTGTCATGAAAAGCACTTTCAACCACAAAAAAAAGGACTGACAAAAATAGGGACCGTTTTCCAGAACTCACCCACTCAGTTTTACATTTCTCAACCACAAGGTTGTATCTTTCATGCATACACAAGCAATTCATACAAATATGGTAAAATCATATTAAAAAAAAAAAAGTAAACAATATGTCAAAGTCCAGTCATTTCAATATTTGGGTGTCCTTTATTTACAGGAAAAATGATGATGACATTTGCTACCAAATAAATTATTCTTGATTGGTCATCAATCAACAAATGCCAACTCACACCAAATAACATATAACAAACAGATCAATCAATCAATCTTCATTGATTGGTCAGGCACTAACCATGATGTGGTCACACCCTACAGAAGCATATAACCTGTTTTTTTTTACAACTGCCTTTCTATTTCCATGCAAAGTTCAATGATAAAGTTCGCATTACAGAAGCGTGCATTTGGGTTATTGTAATATCAATGCAGCTGGAGAGTTTGTGAAAAGACTGGAGTAACCACAGAATACCCTGCCACTTTGGTCCACGTCATTTACATTTGTCGTGAGGCATAACACAATAGACTTTGTTCTTATTCGATGACATGTAAATGAGTGGCAGGGTATTCTGCAGTTTAGCTAAATCTTTGAAGCATTTTCTCACGTTTTTGAACCTGAGTAATAATTATGCATCAGTATGCTATACGAAAAGCAACCTGTTGTAAGTGTCTCATACACTCACCCTGTCATCGAAACCATCTACGTTGTAATGGTAAAATTCATATTTTCCCCGGACTATGGCAGCATCAACGAAATCGCGGGGAAGCTCTAACCCACTATGCACATCTCTCAACATTTCTTATATTGACGCCCGCATACACCAGTGGTGGTGGTCAGTGACGAAAATATACAATATATGCGCAAACTGTTAAGAGAAAAAAGTCTGGGTGAGGGTAGGGAAATATCTCTTAAGATAGGTGACATTCTTGAAAAAGCCCAACTTACCTCTGTTCCTCTCTATTTTAAGCTGAATTTCCCATTTTATCGATCAAAATTTGCTCACAGATTAAAAGGTAAGCCCAGACTTATAACGTCTATAAAAATGTAGACTTAAGTAGAATTTAACATTACTCACTCTCCCCTACTGGGTAACGCGATGCACGTATTTTTACCACAGATGTGTGTTCGAACTTTCACTTCCCTGCACTTTTTGTAGTCTGTGACTAAGTTTCAATCGGGAAGTTGTCCTTCTACAAACGAGAACAGCCGTCTTTACGGGATTTTTTTGACCAGGAATGGTCAATGCAACGTCTAAAGAAGTAGTTCCAGTTGAAAATGACGAAGAACCAACAATTTTGTGTATCGTAAAGGACGAAACAACTGTCGACAGGAAACAAAACAATCATACAGTGAATCTTCCAGCCTCTACTCTTGTGAAAGATTTGTACGCTTACGTCGCCAAACAAGTAAGCTATGTAGAAGACACCTTCCTTCTCGTGTGGAATAAATTCATTGGTGGAGGCAACGAAGAGGTAGTTCTAAATGAAGAAAAGGCGAAGACTTTACAAGAAGTCGGCCTGGCGGCCAACGGGAAAAAGAACAATTTTCTGATCAAAGATAAAGATGGTGAACAACCGAAGAAAACGAAGGTTAGTGAACCATCAAGCCCTTTTCAAGTTATTATTAGTCTTTGGCAATAAAATGGATGATCAAGCTGATCGCGAGAAGGTTTTGAATCTTTTGCGCAATCAATGAGAAGCTTCAATACAATAAAATGTATAAATTTACCTTCCTGAACTTCTGAATGTAATGCGAAATACGTAAAAACATCATGATAACGGGCATTTGCTTAAAAAATGGTTCACCAACAAGTGCTTTGTGTTTCATTTTGGCGAAACGAAAGATATTAAAATATGTTTGCTGCAATGCATGGCGAACAGAATCGAAGATAGGATAACTACAAAAAAATGCTACGTTCTTGTAGTAACATGCAGGAACTGGTAAAGTTGATGTACAAGTTTCCGGTGCCTCTTAGATTACTGAGGTTTTCGTATTTTACTCAAGGGTGTGTAATTAGATCTGTCTTGGTTTGATTTACATAGGTGTGGAAAGCTTTAGAGTAGAATTCGTTCTATTAAAAAAAAAAAAAGAAAGATATTGGAGTATAGTTGAACCATATACACGAACAGTGCATAGTAGAATTTGACAAGAAATCAAAATTTGCAACAGATCTTACACTCAGAAAAACAGTTTGATCTTTGGATTACATCACTTGAGTTATTTCTGTAATATTATCCAATAAGTAGTGTCAGCTAAACTGTTGTCTCTCATTACATTGAAGAATTGACAATCTGTCAAAAATTACAGCATTTTGTTGGCAAAAGTCAATATTTCAATGACAATTTCGTATAAACTAGTGACAAGGGAATTCATCTTCCATCTTGATTTATATTTGATTGATTATACTGAGATTGTTTCAAAAGAGAAAACAAAATGTCATTTGCAGATGTCCTCTCATTGTCATCCAAAATGTACTTCAACTTTACACGTATGTGCAGCAAACCAATAATTGTACTCCTGGCACTTTTCACTCATCGTCCTGAGAGGGTCAGAGGTCAAGAAACAGTTAAGGGTGTGATTCAGTTAGCTAAGATTTCCTCAGATCTCAACCTAAAAAAGATGGTCAAAAGTGATCTTAATTGATAAAGGGGACTTTTTCTTTGAAGCTTCAAGTTAGATTAACCAATCTATTTAGTTTTAGACCAAAATACTTGTTGTGAATATTTTCTGTGGATCAATTTGACCCTGGTTAGGCAGTTGGAGTTTGTAAATTGGTGGAGATTTATATGTCAACTTAGTTTTTATTTCTCGTAGTGTACTATTTAAGTTTATTTAAGATGTGGTTCTGTTCAACATATTGAGATTTGAAAAATTAAATTTTGTCCAATCCTTTGGGGACAGTTCAAGAGAAAGACAATTCATGGAGGGTTAGCAAGGCTTAAGTCTGAGCCTTAGTCAGGTCACTGTGAAACACTCTTAAGTGAGACACTTTTGTCTCCCATTGCTTTTTTCCACTCAGGAGTCCATTAAATGCTAACTGGCAGATTATCGTGTAAACTTAATGACTCAATACAGGGTAGCCTGCAGTGGACTAACCCCTTATCCTAAAGGAAAGAAGCAGTACTACTACCGACTGAAAACCCCACAAGCTCCAGCCAGATAGGTCATGGGGGTTACTTGCTGACTTTACCTGTTGCCTTGCAGGAGAATGATGATGATGATTCAGTTACAGGGAGTGTCTCCAACCTGTTCCAAAGCAATTCTAACACTTCAAGTAGTTATTCCTCCTCCAGTGATAGTTACACTTTGGGAAAGTCTGAAACAGGTTAGGGTTCAGGATGATTTTTTTATCAGTTGCATATGCATAATTTAAATATAATTGGATCTAGGCAACCACGCAGTCATCTGCAGTTTGGAGTATTGTACTTGTAGAGGGGGGAAACTTGGGAGATGCCTACCTTTTTTTGTTGCTACCATAAGAGCACTTACACTGTTCCCTCCAATTCTACCGACCAAATCTTTTAAATGGGGCTCACTGTAATTAAGGCCAGGTTAACACCAAATCAGTGCAAAAGTTCTCTGAAAAGGATGTCAAGAGTCCAAGTGAGGTTTGTAAAGGGCATTGCATGTGCTTTTGCATGGTTTTCTTTGCTGCTGAATGTAGGAGAATAGCACAAAGTTACAGGAGAATGTATAACAAAACAGCTCCACCTGTTAAGAAGAAAAATTCAGGATACATCATGAGCACCCTAGGCCTTAACCAATAACGTCCTTGGTAGACATGTCACTTCTAATGGGTACTGCGTGACAAACTTTTCCTTTAGTTAAAATTAAGTCTGCCACTGGTAAACTGTTTACTCTATTTGTTGAATACAGGGTTTGTAGGTCTTGTAAACCAGGCAATGACATGCTATTTGAACAGTCTACTACAGACATTATTCATGACCCCAGAATTTAGAAATGCTATATACAGGTTTGTGCTGATAATTCTCAATACATGTAATTACTGATAAAACTTTTAGTAATGATTCTTGCTGGTGTGAGTGAGAATTGAAGCCTCTCTCTACTCTTTGAGAGTAGAGGCTAGTGAGTTTTGCCTTGCCACTTAATTTCCAAGCTAAAGGATAAGAAATAATTCCACACCATTGTTTGTAGTTTTGATTGTTCAAAACTTGCAAAATGTTCTCCACATTTTGTGGTCCTCATAAAAGCATTAAAACTTAATTGCCCCTCTAAAAGGACAGAAACAATTAAGCCATAGCCAGTTATAGCTGTTTCTTAGAACAAGTCAACTTGTTCCATGTCCAACTGGCCAGATCTGACTGATGGAAAAAAACAGTTGGTTATTGTATACCAACCCATTTTAAATATTTTTCAAGTGAATGGATGAAGTAAAGATGTTACCAGTATGTCTCATTTGAAAGTATTGTTCTCCAAACAATCAATGAATGATGAGGTTAGGTGTTCTTGGACATTTTAAGGGGCTTCTACTAACTTTCAGGATTCATAGCCAGAAATTCTAGCATGTGTTTAGTTTGTACTATCTGTCATTGGACCTTCTTAAGTCAGCAAAAAACAAAATAAGGAAGAGTTTTTAATAATTACAATTTCATGTCAACATTGTTTTCACTTGTTATTTGCTGCTTCACATATTTACATTTCCTCGCTCTATCATAATCATGAATATAGTGTTCAATGTAATAGACTTTGTTAATGATTGATGTAATAAATGTAAATAAACATTTAACATCTTAGGTGGGAGTTCATTGGAAATGAAGATGAAGCAGCCAAGAGTATTCCTTACCAACTTCAAAAGCTTTTCCTCCATTTACAGGTACCAGTGGTACAACATTGATTTACTAGATAAATTCCCAATTTGTTTGTTTAACCTTATGACTCCAAGAGTGACCAGCATCTAATATCACCCCTGAATCACTTATAAAGGTCATGAGAAAAAGGAAATGATCACCAACTAAAGAAGTTTGTGATTGTTAAACAAATTCTCCTTGTTGGCATCTTAGGAAATGTACAGAGAACAGTATGGAGAATATGCATATTGATGTTAGGGTGTGAAGAGTCAATGAATTTAATTATATTTATCTTGATGTTCAACAATACAATCCTTTTCTGTGAATCCCGATAACTATTTTAACATTTTTGTCAGAATGAATGACTGAATGGTACCTTTTTATTTTTCAGACGAGTTCCAAGAGAGCTGTTGAGACTACTGATGTTACCAAGAGCTTTGGATGGGACAGTAGTGAGGGTATTGACTTGTGAACTATTTTTACATGATTACAGACCACAGTTTAGGTTTTAAGTTATTTTTGTTGTCTCTTAATTTTAGCATGGCAACAGCATGATGTACAGGAGCTGTGCAGAGTCATGTTTGATGCTCTGGAAAGCAAGTTTAAAAATACTGATCAGGTAAATAAATATTATTAGTAGTATGGTAGATAAGTAAGCAACTAGGGATGTAGATTTGAATAGATAAAGTAGAAAAAGAGTTGATCAGTAAATTATTTTAGTAAGTCAATATCTTGAATGAGAGTAAATGGAATTTCAAGGGGTTGAGTGGATATGAATTAGCTGGAAATGAAATATTTCTGCAGCACAGGAGCAGTGGGGACTGGGGCAGTTGAATTGCAGCACGGGTAGCATGGAGTGCTATAAAAGGGATGCTTATCACATGGGAAAGCATTCTAGGCCAACACCTCATCTTACTCACATTTTTTAGTATATATTCAATTTACTAGCGACAGTTTGAGTTTTGCAGGGGTTTCTTAGCTTGTTTGCATTTCCTAAAATTACCTAGAGTTTTCTGTGCTTTGTTGGAATACATGTTTAGTAAATAAGGGCAAAGATCTTCCAGCCATGTAGCCTTTGTTGGATGGGCTTTTCAGAGCATGAGCCATGGATCCTACACAGATTTTCTACCAAGCTTTTTTTTTTTTCCCCTATTAGGGTTTTTTCCGGCAGGTTTTTTCTGGCCTCTGTTTTGACAGTATTCTGTGTAAACTGTTGCTCGGCTCTGTTCTAGTTTTTCCACCACATGGTTGAATTTTGTTGTTTGTTTTGGTTTATCAAATGCCCTATCTAGGTTCTTGTCTAAAGTGATTGTGGAATTTTTATGTCATTACCCATTGAATGAATGCACCCAATGGTTAAGGAGTTTGACTTGGGGATTGCACTCCATTTCTAAGAAACTAAGCTTCTTTATTTTCCTACAGGATGATCTAATTAACAAACTGTATCAAGGGAAGCTTAAGGACTATGTTAAATGCCAGCAGGTATGCATTTAACTCCTCATCAGTGTTCTCCTTTCATGTGTTTACCAGTAGAATTTACCACCTGTATGTATGCCTAAAATCCCATGGAATTTTTGAAAATTAAACAGGTAAAATTACCAGTTTTAAAATTCCATTTACCTGTTGTGCTCAAAATAAGGGAAATCACTGTATAGAGTGCTCTTTTGTGCAGACCTGAAATTGAGCTTACTATAAATTATCAGATTCTCTTAGTTTTCAGAGTCCTCTAGTATATTTCTCTGAAGGTGTCCCTGATTGGTTTCTCTGTAATTTAGCATATCTTGTGATTCATTTCTTCCATACAGGCTGCATCAGTCTTCCAACTTTAGATCTTAGATCTGAAAATCAATTCCCCCCACAACTGTTATATAGTCATTGATACTAAATTATGATTAATTATATGTAGGTGTAGATTCTCATTTTTCATCAGAGGAGACCTTCATCTGATGAATCTTGAATATCTTTTCAAATCTTTCTGCTTTGACAATGCATGTAGGGAAGGGTATTTATGAATTCATGAAGTAAAAAGGCTGGAAATGAGTGCAGCTTTTAAAAGAAAATGTTGGATTTAATTGTGAAAGTGGATAATTTGCCTTTGTTAGTGTGGCCATGAAAGTGCTCGGACAGACACATATCTAGACATTCCATTAGCAATCAGACCTTTTGGCTCAAAGCAGGCTTTGGGTAGTGTGGTAAGTTAACTCTTCCATTCCAAGTTTAAGTAATGGCACATTACAACACATTCTGTTCTTTATATGTCAAGAATTTTGCCTTTGTAAGTAACTTTAATTAGAAATAATTTAAATTGCATGTAAGCTGTATGTACATGTGAGTAATCATCTCATAGTACAAACAAAGCAAGCAAAAAATGAATTAGGGAACCTGTTTACCCTTTGACATTTAAGAATGACTTGCTTCTAATTCCTCTTTACAGTATCACAACTAAAATTTAGCGATTTAATCATACACTAAGGACACAATAATGAAGGAAATGATGACAAACTAAAAAGGCTCTTGATTATCTAACAAATCTTCTCATCAGCACCTTTGGAAATGTTTAGAGAAAAGTGGATGATATCTAGTTTGATTCCCCATAGGAAATTGCCTTGAAGAGTTTTGTTACTACAGAACTCCTGGAGGGCCAAAATCAGGTAAATTAGGGTGGATTTTTTCTTACAAGTGTTAATTTGAAATTGTGCTTTTTTCTTAGAAAAGCTAGGCCTTGTAGAAAATTATTTGCATAATCAATTTTTCTTTTTTCACAGTACTTCTGTGAGAAATGCAATGAGAAATGTGATGCCCGCAAGGCAAGTGATTGCATCGATGTCTGCTATGTATTTTGTAATTTACACTTAGTCTCCAAGAAAAGTTAAAGTTTTTATCAAGATTCAATTTTTATTTCAAAATTAATTATTATCATTTACTTGTGAGCACTAAAGACAAAAAATTTGCTGACCCTAGGATACAAAACAAAGAACCTCATATACAGCTTTAACTCTCGTGAGTGACCAAGAATATAGAAAAATATAAAATAGAAGATCATGAGTTGATCTAATACCAAATTCTTTGTACTAACTTGGTGAAAATTATATAGCAGTCAGTGAATATAAAGTAGAGGATCATGAGTCGAACCAATACCAAATTCTCAATACCAACTTGACGAGAATTGTATAGCAGACAGTATGTAGAATCACTAAAATCAGATCTTGGTAGTGAAGGGTTAACATTGAAGTATTTATTAAGTCTGGATAACACAGAATTCTCACAGGTACCAGGCAAAATTCTCCAGCTGAATTGTGATTTTCTGTGCTCCTTTTCATTCAGGGTTAGAATTCTTTACATTTTCTTGCTAGTATTTTTGTTGATATTTCCTGTTAGGGTTACTTGTTTATTGAATATTCTTTGCATTTGCTATTGACTCGGTATTAATAGTTTTTAACCGTTAACATGTTGGAAAGGTTATTTAAACACATAGCTTCCCTCTGAGATTTATTTTAACAGCAAAATACACTGTGCTTAAATTTTTTTTTCTTATAGGGTTTGAAATTTTTATCTTTCCCATATCTTCTGACGTTACAACTAAAGCGCTTTGCATTTGACTATGCAACACTTCATAGAGTCAAACTGAATGACAGGTTTGTATTTTACATGGGCTAATGACGTTTGATTTAATGTAACTATGTAGTGTGATTTTTCTAACATACACTGGAAGATTTGTTTTTCATTTACTTCTCTCAATAGAATGACATTTCCCAAATACCTCAATTTGGAAGACTTTATAAGTGAAGATTTGGAGGAGGTTAGTTCTAGGCTTTTTGCTGCAGAATAGAGAATGATATTCATGTTATTCTTTTTACATGAACAATTATAGAAAAATTTAACTAGGGTTTATATAAGTCCTGGAAAACTTGGAAAGTCCTGGAATTATATTTTGACATTTTCTAGGGCTGAAAAGTCTTGGAAATCTGCTTAAATTAAGCAATAAATTTTTCAGAATTTAGGTTATAAGAAATGTATGTAGAACATAAGGAGAAATGATTTTGAAACCTTGGGAACAAAAGGATTTAAGGTGAAATTTGGAGTCCTGGAAAAGTATTTGAAAAGTCCCTGAAATTTGTTTCCAAAAAAGGGTACAAACACTGTTCAATACCTCTCAACACTGATTTCTATTTATGATGTCAAGAATGATGCAGATGAAGATGCTAATCTAAAGGGGGACTCGCCAAGTACATGCAGCACTGAAACTGACAGTGGGGTGAGTGAAGGCTGTTCTGATAATGGCACATCTACTGAAGAAGATGAGGTGGACAATAGCAGTAAAGGAGGTAGTCAAGTGGATGGGACCTCAGCATCAAAGAAAGTGGAGCTTACTGAAGACATGTGTAATGGTGACCTGGCACAGGACATGAAGGTTAGATGGACTGTAGTCTTGGATGCACCTCCTCCTTCCAGTGTTACATTTCTTTGTGCTGCAAATTGCATTGCATAAGTTTGTTACAAACATTCATACCTCGCTATGTTTTGACTGACAGTCATGAACATTACTATGGCCCACATGCCTGCTTAGGATGAGGTTGGAAGAGTTGTGCTGTCAGTTTGTGTTGTTCAGTGAAGACAAGTGTAAGCTGCAAACCAGCAACTGTGTTATGGTCACTAGAGAAAAACTTAAATATATTCTTGACTAGTGTCCATGAATGTCAATGAGTGTGATTAAGTTTTATTGTGGAACATGCCAGAAACCTTACTAAAAATAATATTCTTGACATGTACCAAATGCCAGACATCCTTTTTTTTTGGGGGGGGGAGGGATAGGGGTAGTCTAAGATTTTATAGCATACATTAAGTTGTCGAGTTCATTTGTCTGTGTTTTATTTTTTTAGGGTCCATATTGGTATGAGTTATTCTCCATCATGATTCATTCAGGAAGTGCATCAGGAGGCCACTATTATGCATACATCAAGTGAGGTTTATTTATTGTATCCTGCATGTAGTCATGTAGTCAGTATGAAGCATGTTCTGTGTTCCATCAGGTTATTGAAATTGTAATGTTTTCCTGTCCCAAATATCACAGATCATTCACAAATGGGAAGTGGTACTGCTTTAATGACCAGAGTGTCACAAAGGTAAGTGTTATGGTCACAGTGATACAAAAAAATGACATGCATACGGCTTTCTATCTGATAGAGGGTATTCTTAGAAATTTTTGGGAATTACACATCCAAGACTTGGTATAGAGGTATAAAGAGGCGGAAATGAAAGAGGTAGATAAATTAAGGTCAAAGATGAGAAAACTTCTTCAACTTTTGAAGCTGGAAGAAATGACTTGAGCTGTAGGACATTGTTGCCTTGAGTCATTCAAGAAGGTTAAGGTACTTTGAGAAAATTATGGCCTTATTCTACCAAAGAAGGGAGAAATCAAGTCCCCATGAATTTGATTCCTTTGTTTTCTTCTCAATTCCTTCATTACGAACTCAATCAGGCCAGTGATGATGATATTGAAAGAACTTATGGAGGATTTGAATCATCAAGGACCTACTATTCATCAGTCTACTCCAGGTAACATTTGTTTTTGAGTTACTGTAGTTAGTAATTAATAAATATAACCTTATCTTAGTTGCTTTGCTTTAGTTAGAGATGGCAAAATACCTTTAGCCACCTTATACTGCAACACTATGGCCACCTACTTGAAAACTTTTCAACAACTTTGTGTACTTGACCTCTTTATTATACTATGCTACTAATTTTTTGTCACACAAGTGCAGATGTAGAACTGTAGTTGAAGAATGAGATTGTTTATTGGTGACATTTGCAGTTCAACAAATGCATACATGCTGATGTATAGACAAGTCAATCCTGAAAGAAACTGCAAGTTCCTGGAACAGTGTGACATGCCCCTCCACATTGTGGAGTTGAAGCAAAAATTGAAAGAACAAGAAGAAGATGAGAGAAGAAGAAAAGAAATGGAGAGATCCATGTGCAAGGTAAGAATGCAGATGTGTAGAAGCTAATAAATTAAAAGCAAGCTTTGTATAGATGGTTTGAATCAGAAATGGGAGATTTTGTGGCTTGCTGATTAAAGGGCACGGGCTCATGCCCTCATAAGTGTCATTGTGATTTGTTGTTGGGCAAAACATTTCACTCACCCTGTGGTTGTTGAAGTTTTGAACTGATAGATGTGTTAGTGAGGTAAGCACATGATTTTGTAAGGGTCTCAATTTTGAACAGAATAAATGTGTTTATTTTGCTCCAGATCAAGATTTTTTGTGAGCACCCTCAGAGTAGGAGAATTATGGAACAGAAACTTGAAATTCACAAGGATACAACTTTGAAAGATGCAGTATCTGTGGCTCACAAGGTATGGCACATTACATAATGAAAAGAGATTTTTTTTTACATCTTACTTACCAGTATTAGACACAGTACAGATGCAGAGAATTACAAACTGAAGTTTGATTACGAGAGTTAAGAATGTGGCATTTTAAATTAAGACCATTACGTCATTTTACAAGATCCTCATTGGATAATTTTGCTCTGTTATGGTAGCTTTTCCACTTGGAGAAATTTCTCCCAGCTGAACAGTGTCGAATTGTGAAGTTTGATGAATACTATGATTACATTGAAAGGTCATATGATGGGGAAGAGGTGAGTTTATTATCTTTGTATTCAAATATAGTGCATGCAGTGCATTAGATACAGTGTATTTAGAGTGCATTTGGACACAATTTTGGCTAAGGGGGCAGGGCAGGAATTTGAATGAAGCAATCTTCAAAAGTTAGTATTGTGGGGAAGGGGGGAATTTTGAAGCTTCAAACTATCCATTACAACAAAATATCTAATGAAATGATTAAGGTGCAATCCCCAATGCTGGTGTTGCATGTAGGTGTGGTTTATGGTTGGCTCTTGAATTATTGTCTCATTGCCAAGGCTTTTACTTTGGTATTCCTCTACCTCAAAACCAAACTCCAAATTCCAAAGTAAACCTGGAAAGAGGGAAGAATGAGTCAAAGTGGTGGCTTTTTGGCTGCTTAAATCCAGTTTAGTTTAATTGCAATGACTAAAGGAAATAAACCCTTTAATTCCCATGAGTGACTAGACAGAATTCCTATCATTTCGAGGCAATATCAAGAAGACAAGTGATGAAAATAAATATTGATAATTCTCTCTATGTGGCACAACAATATGCACAGATATAGGTCAGGGGACATTGTCTGTTTCAAGATGGGAACAGTTTTCCTATAGGGAAACTTAAGGAAAACTTTAAGGAACATATAATGTCCAAGGACAAATATACAAGCGTATTTTTCCACGAAATAGAGGCTACTGTGTTTATTATTGTGTTTATCAACATCCTTGGATATCCCCCAGTTTTAGCTGGAAAACTTTCAGTCATGTGGTGCATTTAGACCAACAGTGTATAAGCAAAAAAATATTTTATGGATCAACAAAAAAGAATATTAAATTATTAGTTGATCCCATACTAACTTTTCCAGAGTAATGTCTTAATAATTTATGGCAGAAGGTAAGGAGAATTACTCGTGAGATCTTGGGGTTTAAAGGGTTTACTCAAGTAGAATCAAGCCAAGGAGATAGCAATATTTTTCAAGTTGCTGCCAAATCAATAGAAATGCCTTGGAGGCCAAAGATTTCGAAGATTCCCCGAATTAACTAGAGGCATCAACTTTTTTTTCTGTCCCTCATAAAAAACACCCTTACATTCACTTATTCCTAGGTGATCTTGTTAACACTAAATGGACCTTGGAAAAAGGAGGTTGTCACTGGCCAAATAGTGCCAGGCTACTAAATGCAGTTCTTTCTGTAAACTCACCACATCGCTAGATCATTGATACTAATAGTAAATTTGAAAAAACAGCTACCATTTGCATCGATCTTGTATCTCCTCTTTCACAAACAGGATAATCCCATTGGCAAAGTTTTGAATGGAGTTAAACAATCCTACATGTTTGACCTTCTCCTTGAAACTAGAAAGGAAGATGAAAGATTTAAACCCTATAAACCTGGAGGTAAACTTGATCTAAATTGTTCCTTTGTTTGTTGATAACTCCAATAAACTACCAGCTGAATTACTTTATATATGTATACCCATAGGTGAGATAATGTTATTGAACTGGGCCCAGTTGTTCAAAAGGAATATAAGTTATCCAATAAATAAGACACTATTTATTAGAAAATGCAAATTTGTTCCATGGATAGTGTTATCCACCCTTGGAACAACCAGGGCCAGATAGACTGCTTTTTAGGTTGTAGGGTAGATAGTGTTGGTGATATTTTCATGTTTTTACCAGGAAGAAATCATCAGTAGTTCTCTCATCCATAGATGAAACATGGTGAATGAGTTAGAGCTTACTTGAGTGTTAAATGAATGTAATTTTACTTTGGTGTTATAGTCAAATCTGAGTATAAAAACACACAGGAGGGACATCTGTTAGTATTTTGTTGTTATGCCCTTGTGTCCTCAAGCACTCAGGGGATCAAAGTGTGAACATTTTAATAGCATGTTTTTTTTTTCCTGCTCCTAGGTACAACAGTAAAGGTTCATGTGGTGCATCTAGAAAAAGAAAAGGTGGATCCATATGTAAATGTGCGACCACTGCTCAGTTCAACTGTGGGGGATCTTTGTGATCTTATTCATGAAGTAAGAACAGTTTCTTTTTCCATGCAAGTGTCAGGCTTTTCTTACCTCCAGGAGACACTGTACTTTACTCATTGGTCTATTTTGTGGTTTGTCTCTTGGCAACTTTCTTTGTTTGCCTCTAAAAATGCTATGGTCATTGTTTTGTCTACAAGTTCTCAGGCTCCATTTACGGGTAGTTGAGAAAAAGTTGCTTGACCTGGTTGGGGAGGGGGGTTGGGACCCCTTCCCCTTTCATCTTTTCACCCTTTTTATTCTCCTTCTTTTGCCTTGTTCCTATTCTCTCTAAACAACACTTTGAGAGATTTAAAAATAGACTGCTCCATAAAATGTTATGTATATGTTTCACTGTTATTTTAAAAATGGATTATCATTTAATTTATGTGCAGAAATTTAATCTTCCTGTGGACTGTATGAGGGTTGTGTTTGAAGGATCCTACAATGACCTGAAGCTGCTAGATAACCCAAGCAAAGTTCTAAAAGAACTTGGATTCTTCAAAAACAACAGGGTATTTAAATCACTCAAATATTTTTTCCAGATGAAATTGCATATTCTTCAATGTATGATATAGCTAAGAGAAATGAGGTAGCACAGTCTTTTACACATGGGGTCTAAATGGAAAGGTTGTAGATCAATGTTTGGCAAGGCCTCTCTGTTCAGTGCTAGGTCAACACACTTTATTCTGAGTGCCTCTTTTTACCTTTGCACATACAATATAATGTTGTCATGCAAAGAGTTGAAAAGGAATCAGTTCCCTAAATCTCTTCTTTTCCAGAATAGTGCCAATCCCTCATTGTAGGTTAAAGAAAAAATTAGGAAGAGGATGCTTTTGAATCAATTTTAAATCACTTAAAATCAGTTTTATCAGCAAATGGTGTGGAAATTGTAAGGAGGAGTTTATCTGGTATCCCATTCAATAAATAGAAGGGGGGAGGGGAATAATCTTCCTAGCTGTTAACTGGTATGGCATACTGCAGTATAACTTTTAGCTGCATGCACCCATTTGCTTGAGCCAAGACTTAGGTGGCCTTAAGTTTCTGCTTAATATGAACCTGCAGTCAACTCAGATTAAGTTATTGTCTGGTACAAAATATTTGCCTTGGATAACAAAATGAATGTTTGTGGTTATATTCCACTAGGTGTTTGTAGAAGCTTCTGATAAAGAGGAAGATGTTCTGTTTAAAGATTCCAAACTGTTCAAAGTCCTAGATGTATTTCAGCACACTATTCAATTGTTTGTTTTGTTACCAGATCCATCTACAAAACCATCAGGTATGTGGGGCCTTAAAGATTGTTAGTTGAACCATATGTGGCTACTTTGTAATCTGAGAATGGAAGGAATTTTATCTTCTCTGTGTACATCTCTATTACATCTGGTTATGTAGTTCATTGGCTTGGTTTGAAAAACAAGATGATGTCATTAATGTTTTGGGATCATGATAATTCCCAATTATTACATTGATGTTTGAACAGAGAACTCCTTACACACTAACACGTGTGTAACAACCTCTTGCCCATAGAGCACACAAGCAGATATATCTGTGAGACTGCAGTTGATTCAGAAAAGAATGAAAAACAAAGAGGTGAGAAGTTGTGTCAAGAGTACAGAGATACAGTTATGGTAACATAAGTCTTCATTAACTAACTCTTGCACTTTCCTAGGAAATAATTGCAAGCCATGTTTGATTTTTAGAAAAACTTGTCCGAGTGGACAAAAGAATCACCCTTGGAAAACTGAAGGAAATTCTGAAGAGCGATGTTGGATGTGCACCAGAGTTTTTTAGGGTAGGTACTAAAGAATGTCTTTAGTTTTATGTTATTTACCAAACAGAATTAGAGATGACTTGTGAAGTTGCAATCATCTGCTGGTGGAGAACAGGCATAAACCAGAGTTTCATTTGAGATGTCATTGATACTAGAGGTCTGTTTTTCATGATCATAGGTTTACAGAGTATACTCAAACAACCAAGAAATTGAGTACAACAAGTTAACTGACCCACTTACAAGCTTCAGTGATGATTCTAAGGTTAGTGCCAATGCAGAATTTTTCAGGACAGTGAAATGTTGCTATTTTCATGGTAGTTTCAATATTGTTTTTCTGTTTGAGTGACACATTGGTAGAGTTCATTTTAATATACAGTTTGAAAACTGTCAGAATCATGTAGGCTGCACTTTTAGATACTTATTTTGTTGTAAATGATGGCATTATTATATCGATAGGTTAATTCTTGCCCTTCCTCATTTTCCTCTACATGTTAAATTAGTAAAATTGTAAAGGAACATGGACTTGCTATGGTCTGGTTCATTTTACATTTATTCACCAGCTGAATGGTGGAGTAAGATCATTTTATTGACAGTATCTACATGAAACAAACACAACCTTTTAAGCTTTTGTGCTATCTAGCAATAGACTTTATTTGTAAAGTATGTTTACCTTAGACATTACATTTGTAGTGGATATGAGGCATTCAATTCTTTCTGTGGTAGATACGAGTAAAGTACAGTCGTGCCCTCAAGAAAGGGGAACATCAGCTAAAAATATTTCTACTAAATCCTACGGAAAAGGAGGTGAGGGTGATTTGTTACTGAGAATTTGTTCTGTATATCTATTCCTGGACTCATTGCGCAAGTTCTTCCTGCATTCAATACGATTGCTACAATCCTTTTTCCTGCAAATAATTAGCATAAAATTCCTTCCTAACTGTCAAAGTTGAGCTTAAACTATGTTTATAACAATATCAGTCTATAATAAAACTTTATAGTTGGTGTCTGGAAAAGAATTTTGACCCACAGTTTGGCCACTGATTCCTTTTGGGAGAAGAGATAAACTAAGGCTACTTTAAAGCAATAGAGCCCTTTAATTACATGTCATGATGATGATTAGTCTTTGCTGAAGGAAATGAATTGAATGATAGTATCTGTTTCACTTCTAGCCTTACAAGTACTTTTGTGACTGGATTGTAACTGATGGTATGTCAGTGAAACAATGCAAAGACCTTCTACAGCCAGAAATCTGCCAAAGATGTGGTATTGATGTACCTGTTGAAAAGTAAGTTTAATCATCACTCTAAGATTTTCAGCTGAAAGGGTACACTTAAAGGTAAAAAAATTTTTTTCCCACCTCCACTGAATGTTAATATGAATTAACACAAATATTATTACTATGAATTAATATTTATTAGTTAGTATGGTTAATTAAATATGGAACCCTTCCAGCTGGTTTTATGCCTGTTAAACAGCACTTGTTTATTTTGCAGCAGATACGGCCATGTTACTTCCTTGTTTATTTATTTGTTTTTGAAAAAACTCAAAAAGAGTTAAACTGTTAACTTTTTGTTTTGTTTTCCTTCAAATAAGGAATTTTTTTCTTTTTTATCTCTTCCTTTTTTATTTTTAGTCTCAGGATGAGAAGAAAAAACTGGAAGAATCCTGCTGCAGTGTATGTTGATTCTCAGGTGTTTGAAGACCACATTCAGGTGTATGCAAGTTTTGAAGTTTTCCTGGAAATATTAGAAGGTGTGTGAGTTTGACTAAGAATTTTTATCAAATCACCACTTTAATAATTTCTGTATCTCCTCTTGTCAGATGACACACTTGACCATCATACTTTTTGTTAACCCCTTAATTCCCCGATATAACTGACAATAATTTCTAACTGAAATTTCATTAATTTTGACTTACTGTTTCTTCGTTTCTCTATTTTTATTGTGTTCATTAATCGAGGTGTGGAATTTCAAGTGTGAGGGTTTAATATGCAAAAGTAACTCTGAGTTATAATTATAGTTAATAATTTTGTGTCATTTCACTGTTCTGAATCCCCAAATTGTTCTTTTACATAGTATGTGCATCATATAATCACTTTCCAAAACAAAATATATCCACAACATCCATTTTTCACTCTTCTAGGCCCTGAATTAATGACTTCAACAGACCAGCTTTCAGTCTATGTGCGCCATTGGCATCCTTCAACTATAACACTTGACCCTCCCAAAGAGGTTGTTCTGCAAGACAGTGTAGTTGACGAACTGAAAGCTGCAGTAAGTTGGGATTAGTTAGGGCATGTTATTCATCAAAGAATTCTTCAATGGATTGAGGGTTTTGTGGCCAAGGCAGCAGTGTTTCATACTCACAGTCTGATGGCCCTCAAGGTTTAGGGTCACTCTGACTCTTAGTTAGACTTGTAGGTTGTAGTTCCACTCTCTAGCATGCCAATCAATTAGAAGCTTCAACACCACCCATCCCCTCAACCACCACTTTCAGGAAACCTGCATTTGACCTTCATCTGTACCTGGGAGGGGGGGAGGGGGGATTCAAACCAGAACTGAAAATTCTTCACTTTTGGAAGGAGATGGCTTAGAAGGAAACTTATGGTGGCTGTTATTGCCTTTTAAAAAAGAATAGATCATGAAATAAGCACTTTGGTGGCATGGGCATTTGAACACTATTTTGGTCTAGAGGGTTGGGAGTTTGAACAAACCAATCTTCAAAAGTTCAAATGCGCAGGGGGTCCTTGGGAGGATGCTGAAGCTTCAAATTGGTCGACACATAAATATGCATACCTTGGAGATAGTCAACTGTTTTTTATTTTTATGTCTTCATGATTCATATTTACATTTGTGCTTCCAGATACTATAACATTTTCATTTGACTTTCCAAATTGATTGCTGTAGTCTGTGATATTTATAGATTGTAATTGTGTATTTCTCTTTCAGGTTAGCAAACTTGGTAGTGTTCCAGAAGAGAATTTAGAGTTGTGCAAGGTGAAGATTATTCAAGATTTAGGGTCAAATTAAAATCTAAAATTACTCTACCAGGATTTTTTTAGTTTTCTGTAGTTTATCATATTTTTAGTTTGCACAATTTTATAGCAATTTCAGCACTGACCTTTGTTATAATCATGCACAGATGTAAAGCTACCATGCACACCACTTATTTAAACATCAACTTCTTTGAAAGTCTGTTGGTTCTTTGACTCACCAACACCATGGTGTTGGTGAGTCATGCTTTAACCCTTTCAATCCCAATATCGCATTAATAATTCTCCTTACTTTCTGCCATTAATTCTCATTATTGTAGTTTGAAAAATGTAGCATTTTAACAACTTATAATCCCCTACTGATATTTTCCTATAATTTCATCACTTTTCTGCTTGATATTGCTATTGTAAAGATAATTCTGTTATGGTCATTCATGGGAGTTGGAAAGTTGAGAAGTTTCACTGTTATAACTTGTAATCAGAAGACATAAACAATTCTTTATAAAGATAACCACACGGACACTTTCATTGTGTGGGAAAGTTATATTTGATTTCAATACCTCACACAAAGTGTAGGAGTTGACATAATTTTTTAGCTACTTTCTTAAGAACTTTGAGAATCTTATTTCTTTTTGAAATAAAAAAGATTGAAGGGGATGTTTCCCTTGTAGGGCCGTGGACACTTTCCTTGTGAAATGTCTGTTTTGGAGATTCATGATGAGTGTGACTGGTCAAGTGACTTGACATCCCTTAGAGCAAGTCCTCTGTTGATAACTGATGATGGAGCAGTGGTGTTTTTCAGGTTAGAGTCTTTAGTTGAGAGGAATGGAGGGCTTAAAATGTTCTGGATGACAATCTATCTGTCCTTGGCAGATAGATTGTCCTCAAAATTTCATATTTGACCCTGGAAGCTTGGCTTCTTTGCTTTGCTTTATGGCTTTGTTTTTCTGCTTTGCTTCCTTTTCAATTTAGTTCAAGATTTAACTGTCAAAAGTTCCCACCTTTAAAAGTTACACTTCATCCTTTCTGTAGGGATAAAACAGAAAAGCTCATGGAAATAACAGAAGAAAAGAAGCAGGAAATCATAAAAAAAGAAAATGCAAAGTAAGAATTTCACCCACTCGTGATAATGTCATTTTTCCTTATCCAGAAAAGATTGCAGCTACAATGATGTACAATCGATTTCTTTGTGTGTGCAGCATTTCACTAAAACAAAATTAATTTTTATGATCAGTAGCACAGTTCTGATGTACAAAAGCGTAACATTGGGGTAAAATTGAAAATTTGATTTAAGAATCAATTCTTATTAGAATTAAGTCAGAAAGTGAAGGAAATTGGTTCCTATCTTGAAATTATGCGGGTATCAGCGGCCATCCCGAGGGGTCGACCCCCGGGCAACCCAAGGGCAACCCACGGGCTTAGCAGGGGATTTGTAGCAAAGGCATGCCCCGCACGCGGGGCATTAGAGCGCTTTTGCGTTTTTGGCAAAATACCCCGGGGCCATACCCACGGGATTTGCACGTAATCTGCTGTTATTTTTGCTTTCCTACAAGGCCCAATGAGCGTAATAAGTGGGAGGTTTTCTGTAAGCGAGCGGATAAAAAATTCAAGACACTCGGCGATCCAAGAATCTGTTCATTGCATTTTAAGGAAAGCGACATCGAGATTTCAATTTCATACAGTTAGTTCGCATTCGAAGCGTCTTGCCGATAGGAAGAGACAGTGTGATGAACAACCGCAAGCCAAGAAAGTTTGCCTCAGAAAGCTCGAATTTGAGGACTCCATAGAGACTTGTGTGGATTTTAGTGCTGATTTGGCTTCAGTAAACCATGATCACTCGTACTTTTGCATCGAGGAACAGGCAACTCCGACTATATGTTGCCCAGGTTGCTCCAGGGGTGGGGGTATTTGTCCCAATTTTTTGCCCTACCCGAGGGGCTTTAGCATGTGTTTGTCACGGCAGCTGTGACAAATGCCCCTGGGTGCCCGGGGGTCGACCCCTCGGGATGGCCGCTGATACCCGCATTATGTCATTTCGATCGATTCGGACGCATTTCAAGAAAATTTTTCTATTACCTATGATGCAATGCGACCACGCCATACCGCATGCGTGAAACATGCGGTATGTACTTAGGAAGTTTCCCGCTCATTTCCTCACCTGATATAATATTTTACTTCTTAATATGGAAATCTAAAACAGTCCTTATTGATTAAGTAGACTTTGGGATGATTTGGAAGTAATGGAAGCCGTCAAAATGACAAACGCATCGCGCTTGTTTTTGCTATAAATTCGATCGCATACGTTCCTGAGGATCAAAATTGTAGACCTAATGTTTCGGATGAACTTAAATGCTAATATTTTCGTCGGCTTCTAACGGATTCGATCGAGTTTGGTACCAAAATTTAGCTTGTCATTTGAGCATTTGTTAATGTCAAAGTTGACATGCTCCAGTGCACTTGTCGCAAACAATACGATTAGGAAGTCCATTGACTGGTACTATCGCGCGGCAGATCACAGCGCTCGCCAACTGTTTCGGACGCAGAAAAAAATTCATATCTCGACAACGTTTCAACAAAAATACCAAAAAACGAAAAAAAATTGAAAATCAACTTATGAGCATTGTATTTTGAGGTTAAATTGTTCTGTAACTAAGGAATTATGACTCGCAAAATGAATTTAAAATTATCTGTCTCTCCTAGGCTTTAAAGCGTGACGCATCAAGTGGTGAACACTTTCGTTGATTTTAAGAAAGATTTAGCTCAAATTTTCAGGATTTTGGCTGTCACTTTGCTTAAAAAGGAACTATTTTCATTATCTGTTAAGTCTTACGGTTATAAACGAGGCTTCAGTGGGCAAAAACAGGAAAACAGTGAATAGTGAAGCTGACGCATGTTACGCGTGACGCCATGTTTCTGTCGCTAACTTTACAATTCGGCTCCAATTCAATATTTTCAGAGATCCTTTATTCTACTTCTGTTTAGTCCAAAACCATCTTTAACACATTTGTAACAATTGTGGAAAGTCTCAAGCAGATCTGATCATTGTGCGCCGAGAAATTCTCAAAAGATTCAAGCAAATCCGTGATTTTTCAATTTGTACGTGACAAGCGTGCTACTGATCTTATGTTGTCTTTCAAGTGGCAGTTAGGAATATCTGGTAATACTTTATGAGGTTGTAATCAAGGGGAGTTATTTTAGCCCTGTAATCCAATTTAAATGAACAACAGTAGATTAACTGTAGCAAATCACAAGCATGGTGTTCTATTTTGGAATTAACCCTTAATAACTCCCAAGATCTTATTGTTAATTCTATGCTATAGCTGCTACACATAACCTTGTAAATTAGTTATGAGAGTTATTTGGTATTAGATAAGGATGAAAATTAAACTTCTACCTGGAATGTGTGAGTACTCTCATTTCCTGTTTGCTGGATAACATATGAATATTACAGAGAGAAGTTTCATGTGAACTCCATTTCCAGGAGTTAACAAATGTGTTCTTTTTATCATCATACAGGAGCAACAACTCAAATACAAGAATTGGAAAATTTTCTTACAAGGAAAGAGCTCTAAAAATTTACACTGATGACAACAGACCAAGCAACTGAAAAGAGAGTACTTCTCAATTAACCGGGGTTGAAACAACTCAAGAAATGCACAACCACTTGCATTGATAGAGAGATGATAGACTGTGCGACAATATTGATAAATATTATGGAGTTCTTAGTACAATCAATAATGGATTGGGAAAGAACACAGAACAATGAGATAGAGAAACAATTGTTTGATTGACAGTAGCCCTTGTAAGTCAATAGTTTTGTGCATGGAAGGCAGAGAGGATGTCTAAAATTCCCATGAAAAGGGGCCTAGGGATCATTAGCATTGTGTTTTGTAACCTCACTTTTTGCATAAACTTATTGATGACTGAAGTGACCCTGAACTAACTCACCTTATCTTCAAATGCAGAGCTTCAATTATTTTAAGTCAATAGCATTTTCATTGCAATTACAATGTAGTAGAGGACTTTGCAACTTAAACTACAAACATAAGACCTTTATTTCTACCATTTAGTTCACCTGATGGTTAATTTTGGTCTACACAGTTCTTCTGAGCAGGACATGTACAAATGGTTACAGAAGCTTTTTGATACTTTTCCTCCAAGAGAAAAACATTGGGAAGTTTTCTGATGTGCATATACTCAAAATCTGTTTTCTGCAGAAAATAAAACAAAGTCTTCCCTTATAATCTAGGATAAAGCACAAATATTTCACTTGATCTATTCCCTGCAGTCACAGTTCTTTTCAGAAGGCTTTCAAGAAACATGTATGATACGTGTACATTCCAGTTTTCAAGCTTATGGAAAAATCGTTTTCGCTCAAGTATGTAATCTTATACCAAGCTCCAAGAGCTAGGTTTAGTGTAATTTAAGAGGTGGCTGATGAGTCAAAACTGCAACTTGGTAAAATCCATACAGGAAACTCAACATTGGTAGTTACTCAATGAAAAATGCCGTAAAACTGAAGTTCTTGATTGTAATTTGAAGACATTTTGATACTAGCAGTGTACTTTATTATCTAATGCTGAAGGGGAACTGCAACACCAACAAATGGGCAATTTTACCTCTACCTTACAGAGCAGTAATCTCCTTGGGGTTTTCCACTATTTGCATTGAATTTGTGTGAATTACTTGCAAAAAATGCTAAAACAATTGTGGTCAACTTCTGCTTTCTGAGCTCTACTTGTGTTTGCTCATTCAGAGTAAAAGAAATATTTCTCACAACATCAGCACTTACAGGAAGGTTGACAAATGAACTGTGGGTCATTGAAGAATTTATCAAATGTTGTGATTTTTTGTTACCGGTCTCATAATGAAACAATAAAAGTATCATTTACAGTAACTGTAGTATGTAGAGTTTCAAATTGTCTTCATGTTGTGCATCAATTTTTCTACTAGTACTGTCATCTTTACAATTAATTTTCAATTTAGGTCAAGCTTCAATCAAGATGCTGTAAATCTTGAAAACAAACAATCTTATGACAACAACAAAAACAAAAACAATTAAAAGCTCTTTCTGTAAATAGGGAGGTGTATTTGCAGTTTCTTGTAATTTTTTCCAGCTATTGTTTGTAATCGTAACTGGCACCCACACCTTATCACTTACTTTTCTTTAAAACTAAACTGTAGGAACAAGCACAAAAGTTGAATCATAAACAAGGGACAAAACTTGGAGGAATAAGTGCTTCATTTTGACTTTCCCATTTTCTTTTTCACAGCCTCCACTGCCTGAGAATTTGGCAAACCTAAGGCCAAACAGCACATCAGTGGAAACTCGTACTTAACAAAAACATGAACCTTTTTTTTAATACATCACCCATTTTTGTGTGGCTTACACAACCTGTGTAGCCTCATTATGACACGATCGGATTTATTTATTTATTTGTACACGAGAGTCGAGCGCCTGTCACGTGGTCTAATATCGTAGTATTGTACGGCGCACTAATCGGCTTTACGATACTATTGTTTTCTGCAACTACAACTGATATGTCTCTATATGAGGTATTAAATTTGTTTCCCCGCTGACCACTCGTATTTCGGTCTTTTCTTCTTCCGCAACTCGTCGCCCGTGATGTAGTAGCTCCCCTATGCTGACCGTAGGAAACATGCTGAGCAACCATGTTTTGAGCCCGCATGGAATTTTCCGGCAAAACGCGGTCCTGTGATCAACTTGGCTTCATGTACCTTATATGAAACGTCTGGGAACGCGGAACCAGCTTGACTTGACTGATAATAATGGGCGCGTCAAAGATACCTTCAAAGCGGGAAGCAACAAGCCTATTCAGCCAGTTTCGATATGGACATTCCACTCATCTAATCACAACCGTGACACAAATAGAAGAGTGAAGGCAACGAGTTTTGCGACGGGATGCAGAGAAAGAAACGTTATTCGTGTTGCGCTCTAGTTATTCGCGTCGAGTAGAGCAAATAAAAGCGACAATGAAGACCACTCGTTCAGGAGACCTTTTCTCAAAAGATCCACACGCGCAAATAATGCTGTTTTCCGTTCGAAATGTTTTTCTTCCTATTCAATTCAACAACTGACTTAGCGTTTAAGCCGAGAAAAAAATCTCAAAGTTTGAATTCTGGGATGTTGTCCACTGTTGGCTCCATCAAGTTACGATTCTGCACCATTGACGCTCGTGAAAATCTATCTTTCCCTCGAAATATCCAAAACAATAATTGCCTTCAACAGAAAAGCCATTGAGATGTTCTTTCAAAAAGTCGATCTCTAAATCTCTTAACATTGTTGGCTTTTGGTCTTCATCCATGGCAAAATCTTCCAGGAAAAGCAAACTACAGTGCGAAAACCAAGTTCCTGCCAAATTTGATTGACATTTTTGACAACCGGAAATCATGATACTTTTTTTTCGTCACGCACGTCACGCAGCTAGCTACACACCATATATATAATTATTCTTGGTGCCTTTTCAAATGCCACTGACTCCCTCTCCGAAGCCTCCATTGTTTATTAAAGCAGTAAAAGATATGAGTTCAATCAACACTTTTGAAAAATTGCTTAAACTGTGAAGTAAACTGTTAACATTTCGGCTTTACAACACGATTGTCTCTGGAACAACAAATTATATGTCTCTATATGAACTATAAAAGGGTAGGTAAGTCATGTATGGCCACATATTATGTCCTTAATACATATTATGTCCTATACTTTACATACAATACCCTACACACACATACAGGGCTAAACAAGGCTGTACACAGCTATACACAGCTATACACTGCTATACACAACTATACACGGCTATACAGAGCTAGACAGAGCTATACACGGCTATACACAGGGCTATACACAGCTGTACAGAAAAAACGACCCAAATATGAGCGGTCAGCGGTGAAACAGCTCTGAGGTAGGTGTGCGTAGGGTATTGTATGAAAAGTATAGGACATAATATGTATTGGACATAATATGTGTCCATACATGACCTACCTACCTATAAAACCTGTTTCACCGCTGACCGCTCATATTTGGGTCGTTTTTTCTATCCCCGCTCGTCGCCCGTGATGTAGTAACTCCCTAACATATATATATGTCCGCTTTGTAGTTGTCGTAGGTTTTGGAAAGGGATGAAACAGTATGACAAGATAACCACTGTTTCTAGCTCTGTGGATACTCGTGGAGTTTGCCAGCTCTTCGGATGAGGATATTTCAATGATCAAAAAGCGAAGTAAACGCCGAAAAAGGCCGAAAACTTGAAGTTTGAGATTTGAATTACTGACAATAAAGATGTACACATGAGACTACAAATCTTCAAGGTTGGTCTTAAGATGTTGATGTCTTAGATCAGTAGCACAGTTCTGATGTACGAAAGTGTAACATTGGGGCAAAATTGAAAAATTTATTTAAGAACCAATTCTTATTAGAAATAAGGCAGAAAGTGAAGGAAATTGGTTCCTATCTTGAATTTATGTCATTTCGGTCGATTCGCACGCATCCAAGGCAAACTTTTCTATTATTCCTTAGGCAATACAGCCACGCCCTTTTTTGTAAAAAATGCATAAATACCGTGTTTCAAGGAAAAATTTTTTTTTCCTCGCCCACCAATTTTCAGGATTTTGGTTGCCACTTTGCTTAAAAAGGAACCATTTTCATCATATGTTAAGTCTTACGGTTATAAACGAAGCTTCAGTTGGTTAAAACAGGAAAACAGTGAATAGTGAAGCCGACGCGTGTTACGCGTGACGCCATGTTTTTGTCGCTAACTTTACAATTCGGCTCCGATTCAATATTTTCACAGATCCTTTATTCAACCTCTGTGTAGTCCAAAACCATCTTTAGCACATGTGTAGCAATTGTGGGACGTCAGGCAGATCTGATGATTGTGCGCCGAGAAATCCTTAAAAGACTCGAGCTGAGGTCCGTGAATTTTCAATTTGCGCGAGACAAGCGTGCTACTGATCTTACTTCTATGAATCACGAAGTTGTATGTGCAGGCGATCGTGAGATATTCGTTACCATAATAGAAGGTAGTTTAGAATTTGATCTTATTTTACTTCAACTTTGAAATAAAATTGCGTTAAGTTCGAGGTGGCCCTCACGCTTCAAATCACTCCAATAGATCCTTCCACGGTTTTAGCGGCCATATTGGTTGGGGGTCAAACAAAACCTCGTTGCTAGGCAACGAGTCCTAGAATCTCTTATGATAATAAGACGAGCATCGCTACCCTCGTTAAATTTTCGCTTTGTTCAGGAACAAGAATCAACATCCATCGCTAAAAAAGATAAAACATTGATAAAGGTGAGTGACCTTTTTTTCTCTAGGCGAAAAACCTTTTATTCTCTGCGTTTTATGGGAACACTGGGATCGTTTTCTTAGAACGTGACCTCGCGGCTGACATAATGCCAGAAGGTCACAGTACTGCTTTTTCGAAAGACTTTTTGCAACTTAATTGGGTAGAGGAAAAATTGAAATAAATATGTTTACGTGCCCTTAAAACTTTTTCGTCCAGACAGGCTAACATACTATTGAAAAACAATTAACTCGGCAAAGAGAAACCCTTGGCTAAATGGGTTTTGGAGATAAGTGTTGTGTCGGCGGCTGTAACAACGACAGAAGATATCCGAAAAAATGGGTCATCCACTCGCATGTAGAGAAGTTATCGTTCCACAAGCCCAAGCAATCGTTGATTGAAGCATGGTCTCGACAGGTTCAGAAGGGAAGAAAAGATTTCTCAATAGGAAAGTAAAGAGAGAGTGTTGTCATCTGCTCTAATTATTTTCGAGACGGGAAGCCTTCTGTAAGCAACCCTATACCTACTCTTTTTTTGACTCCTTTTGAGCATTCAAATAGTAAGTCACCCAAAAAGCGGCGTCGATTAGAGTATCAAAAGGAGACTGCAACGTCAGCAGTAACTAAGTCAGTTGTACATGCTGGCCCTTCAGAGGTGACACCGGTTGATAATAGTGGTATACCTGCAAGTGATGAATTGATGAAAAGTGGAGACGATTCCTCGGGGTTAACACTGTGTACAGCCTGTGCACAAATAACCAGAGATGCTGATGTTCGACTCTATACTGGCATGCAAAATACAGATGCTTTCAGAACCTTATTTGAATATTTACTCCCTAAAGCTAAGAATATGAATTACTGGAAAGGGGATAAGCAAACTGAAGCAGAGAAGCCCAAAAGGTACTCTGATATGACCATGGATGAGTCCCCAAATGTCAGGAAACCTGGCCCCCAAAGGAAACTAAAACTTGAGCAGGAACTTTTACTGATAATGATGAGGCTTCGCTTAGCTTTGTCTGTTGGGGATCTGGCATTCCGATTTGCAATATCAGACACTCTTGTCAGTTCAATTTTTATCTCCTGGGTAAAGCTAATGAAATGTGAGCTCTCATGGCTTATCAAGTGGCCTTCTAAGGAGCAGACGAAGAAAGTGCTACCAAAGTGCTTCGAAAAATACTACTCTAAAGTTCGGTGCATTATTGACTGTTCAGAAGTATTCATCGAAACACCATCAAGCTTAGAGCTACAGGCTATTTGTTGGTCAGTCTATAAACACCATTGCACTTTTAAGTTTTTGATTGGAATAACTCCAAATGGATTAATTACTTTTGTGTCTGATTGCTATGGGGATAGAGCATCAGACAAATTTATTGTCATGGACAGTAGGTTCATGAACCACCTTGAGCCATTTGACCAAGTTATGGCAGACAGAGGCTTTAAGATTCGTGATGACTTGGCCATGTATCAGGCTACCTTGGCCATTCCCCCAAGTACTGTGGGCAACTTCCAAATGCCATCACAAGATGTGTTAGAAACATCAAGGTTGGCAAATGTGCGCATTTATGTAGAGCAGGCAATAGGTAGGGTCAAACACTTCAAGATTTTGAGTCATATAATGCCAATGAGCTGCCTTCCTTTGTGTGATGACATCCTCATTACATGTTGTAGCCTATGCAATCTTCTTCCTCCCCTATGTGAGAAATAAATATTTTAAAGAGAACCAAAAATACTAGTGCCTGTATTCTTCCTAGACAGTCTTGCAGTGATATGTAAAGTTGAAAACTGTTATGCTCATTCACTGCATGTAAAGTAAGCAGAGAGCTGTTCAGTCGCTAAGAAATATCCACCATAACTTTTAGATACCTTTATAATATAAAAAAATTCAACAAAAAGGACTAGAGCTATAGTACTGATATCTGTCTTACATATTAAATGACACTGATTGATTTATTCGATTAAGTAAAGCTGTTTGCAAGAGGGGCATAGCCAGTGAAGTTCTTCTGGTTCAATAGTGAGGTCTTCACATTCCCAGTGATACCACAGTGCACACTGATCACAGCATACACTATTTTCACCATCCTTCTCAATTTCATCAGGTTCCAAGCACAGGCATTCACATTTTGGACAGTAAAAGATACCTACCAAGCCCAGCAAAACCTTAACAACATAGCCTTTGTAAAAGAAAACTAAATTCTGCTCAACTGTTTGATAAAAAACCTCATCTCGCTGAACTTCTTCCACTAAAGGGTCACCTACTTGTGTCCACACAACAAAATACCCCTTAAAGCAATTTGATAGGACAATTTCCCCTTGTAATTGGGTGTAGTACTTATGTCCTTTGTTCAGACATACTTTACCACTATCCATCTGTAAAAACTCAGTTCGATTCCAGGCATCAAGAACCCTTTCACCTTTAATGCTGTATGGACATTTGCATTCAACAACAAATGTTCCACAGCAATCACAGGTGCCAATAGCATCAGGACTTGCCCCAATGTAAGGGAGATCCCTTTTTACAAATAAGCCAGCCTCAAAAATCTGCATGTTGGTATGCTTAGGTCCCTCTGTTGTTAAAAAAGCATCTAATGCCTCCTTCTCATGTACTCGCCCCCATTGCACAGCTGGAACATTATTTAGGGACTGATGATGAACAATCCTGGCAATAAGGGGTTTGGTCTTGACCACCTTTTTGCGTCCAGCTAAAACTGTTTTCACTTTGGTATGAACCTCATGAAATTTTGAGGCAGTTATCCTTCCTTTCCTCTGCTCCACCCATTCTGTACATTGGCTTTGAGCCCTAGTGGCCTTTTCAATTGAATCACACTGATTCTGGCTCAAGTGAAGTGACTCAAGAAACCCTGCCACAATGGTTACTTCCCCTTCCCCCTTATGTTCTGAGGCAAATTTCTCTGCAACTTGGTTCAGTGGAAAAGGTAAGTCTTGTGCATCATGACTTTCTTCTTCCACTTCGACAGCCTTAAAAATCACTGACTTATCAGTAATTTTTTTCCATTTTGCAAGAAATCTATTTTTGTTTTCTTCAGTGGCAGCTCTTCACACTCTCTGCGAGGATCAAAAGTTTTCTTTAAATCTGAGTTGATTTCCCTCCTTTCTTGGTTTGTGTTGTTGTGTGAATCAGTTCTTATTTTTAAGTCTCTGATTTTCTTAGGCTCAACTTCTCTAAAGGTGCGATCATTCCATCTGCATGGTACAGATGTACATGAAGGATTAGTGAAGCCCATAGAAACTGCATGCTCCACTTTGTACAAAAGTGCCATAACATGATTGCAACTTTGGGAGTAGCCTGCTGTACAGCTACACCATGCAGACAGGACACCCCCCTGATTTGTATCAATGGCTACCCACACCTCCCGTGGCTCATCTCTGACTCGTTGGGATGGTGTAACTTTGCACTTTAAAATGCACTCTCCGGTAGAAACAAATGTGTGTGAATACACCGTACCCACGAATCCACTGACAAAGTAGGAATAAGCTTTACAAAGCTTGTACTTCCCTACATAATCCGAGTCGAATTCTTTCTTTGACAAAATAAAAGAGAACACTTTCCCAAGGTCTAAAGCTGGCCATGTTGTCATATCGTTTCTCCATTCATCCTCTTCAATATGCCTGGGGTCTCTAGGAAGACTCTTAATTCGTTGTTGGTACTCGACTGTGAGTCTCGACCTCAACTCCTCGTCGGATACCACAACCCGAACATTACGTTCACAAGCAGAAAAGGCTCTGGCGACAGGCTCTCTTTTTTTACCAGTTACACTTAACCCCCTTAAACTTAGGTAATCTTTTAGTTCACCCAAGCTTTTCTGGAGGAAATTTTCGTAAAGATCTTCTGGATTTACACTAGAGGGCTCTTTCGGAACCCGCGTAGCCATGGTTCGAAATAAAAACAACTATTGAGCTTGAAAACACCTAAAGTACAAAAACCAAAACCAAAACCAAAATTTTAAGTACGTTGTAATGCTACCACCGTAAAGCCTAAAATTTAAAGCTACACAATATCGATGGCTTAAAAATATATTCTAATTTCTCAACCGAAAGAGGTGCTTTTTAAAATGCGATTTTCGCATCATAGCGGCCGCGAAGTCAACTTCGAACAACATATCAATCTGCCCATAAAACGCAGAGATAAAACGGTATTTCGCCAAGAAATTCGGCATTTACTTTCAGTAACGCCTTATCTTTGTTCCCGCTAGATTTGGAGACGAAAATAAGCAATTTTCCTTCAATAAAGTTAAGATATTGAGCGAAGGTACCGAAGCACGTCTAATAATTACAAAAGAATCTATCGCTCGTTACCTAGCAACGAGGTTTTGTTTGACCCCCAAACAATATGGACGCTATAAACCGTGGAAGGATCTATTAACATCGTCTTTTCTTTCTCTTTCTAGTCACTTAGGACACAAGGCTTTACAACATGTTTCAGCTTCAGGATTGAGTTGCTCTTACTACAACCTTCGGCGAATTCGTTTTTTGGAGGTTGAGGTGGATTTTCGAAGTCATGGCTCACAACTGTCTTTGGCGTTTTTACCCTCCAAATCTGTTGTACATGGTATGTAGGCATGTGCCTTAACAACAGTTAGGGTCTTGCCTCAATCATCTTCGGTTTTATCTTATTTTCTTGTTGTGTTTTGGTGAGAATTTTTTTAATTGCGTTTTTGAAGTGCTAACTAGAGGGTAAAATTCGGCAAAACTTATTTATCACATGGCCCCAAATCCCTCACCACTGTCAGTTCATTGTTTATTCATTTAGCTTTCGATCTAACCAGTTGATTTACCTGAAAAAAATGCGTGGGTCTTGTCTCATGAGCTTAAACTGGTGTCGTTTTATTCACGTACATGCAACTTGTGTCTATACTTTTTTTTGCATCAGTAAAATTACCAATTAAGTTTTTGAAAGTTTTGTCCAAATTTCGACATAAAAGAATGTGAGGAGTGATCAGGTGAAATATTGTCATGTTCCCCAAGAGTGTTTAAGCTTCCAGTGAAAGCTGTAGAATTTGTTAAGTAACTGAGATATGATCTATCTGCCATTGAATTAGCACAGCCAAACCCCTGGCTAGAAACTTATCAGTTTTCCCATTTTTGTTGCTAATTTATTAATTAGCATCAATGACTAATACCGTTATGTTATTTATTTTTTTTATGGAAATTTTTTTTTTCCCCAGCACCCTTTTGATCCCATAAAAACAACATGTCAATCACACCAGGTAAACTGATTCATCTGATTGATCATTTGAAAACAAGACAGAATTGTACTTGAACTTCAGTGATGTCATACATTTATGCAAATTAACCATTTGCCATGTTGGTGCATCTCCAACATGATCCAATGAAATATATTAAAGTTCACATGGCAACCAGGTGGACAATCAGACATAGCTTGATGCTACTCTGGTTTGCAAATTTAATGAATGTAACTGAAGAAGTTACAATTCATAGACCCAACATTTCCACACTCCTGTCTACTGCCTTCATCCACCCCTGATGTCAAACTATGTCTGATGATCCAATGATTATCATTACTTCTTAATTGGGGTAAAATTTCCGCAAAGCCCCATACTATTGTAAAACAAATCTGTTTTTCCAACGGCAATGTATTGTTTTTGTCATTGTTTTCTCTATCCAAGAACTGAATGCATAATGTAGTATATGGGGCTGTGCAGAAAATTTTAGTTTGTATCAAAAGGGTGCTGGGAAAAAAAATGATGTTTCTGTCAAAGAAAACAAAATAACAGTATCAGTCATTGTTGCTAATTAATAAAGACAAGGAAAAAATGTTCAAAGTGTTAAAAGGGAGAGAAAAAAAAATTTTTCAAAGTGTTAAAAGAAAGGGAAAAAAAATTTATACAGCCGACAGGACTCGAACCTATATGAACCCCACTGGTTGTGGAGCCCGACTAACCGTTTTAGCCGCGGCCGCTTCTTACAGTAAACTGTTACAATTTAACTATGTAAATTGCTGTTTCGCGGTGGAAATTTAGTTCGCGCATGCGGTCTACAGGAAAGATCGAGTTAATTATTATTTCTCTGGTTAATACAAAATTATGCATTTGCATAAATCTAGCGTCCATTGCAACCCCTTGGGCTAAGATATAGTTTAGCCAATGAAATCTTGCTGCGTATCTAATGTATGCGGGTGAAATTTAGCATGGCGGATTAATTATTATTTCTCTGGTTAATACAAAATTATGCATTTGCATAAATCTAGCGTCCATTGCAACCCCTCGGGCTAAGATATAGTTTAGCCAATGAAATCTTGCTGCGTATCTAATGTATGCGGGTGAAATTTAGCATGGCGGATTAATTATTATTTCTCTGGTTAATACAAAATTATGCATTTGCATAAATCTAGCGTCCATTGCAACCCCTCGGGCTAAGATATAGTTTAGCCAATGAAATCTTGCTGCGTATCTAATGTATGCGGGTGAAATTTAGCATGGCGGATGCTTACACATAGAAGAGGCATTTGCCGTCGAAAATTTGAGTAAAATCGGTCAAATTTTGCCTGTGTTCGACGAAAACACGTTGCTATGGTGGAGTCTAACAAGTACACCCTATTAAATCAACTGAAAACTTGAGAGAAGACTTGAGACCTTACTAAACAACCGACAGAGGTAAGTGTTTTAATCCGAATTGTTTAAGACTCCATTCGAGGCGCTTTTAATATGTTAAGATCGGCCGTTATGCGACTCCATTTTGAATCTCGGAAGTACTGAATTTCAAGTGAAACAGTCTGTAAACGACTGGAAAGGTTTAGTTTTGGTTCCAAAGATTGTAGTAACACTTTTATTCGTCTAAATTAGAAGTTGAGCAAATAAATTACACTATATTTATACACATAGTACTCGTTCTTAGTCATCGAACCGATACATTGCTATTGAAAAGGAAATAGTTTTACTCGTTCGCTTTTCGTTTGTTTTCATCAAACAGTTTCTTAAACATACCCAAGCTAATGTGAAGTCCAGGAACACAAACCTGAAATAGACAACCATTTAGTTAGGTGGCCTGTAAGTCCCTCTTCAAAGCAATAAAATAAACTCTTGTATCTTACTTTGTCCAATTCAATGTCCAGCAGCTTCTCGTGAATCACATTGTGATAAAACTTCTGTCGACTTGTAACAGAGCCACTTGCTACAAACTTATCATAATCCTCTTGAATGTTTTCAAGACTTCGTTTTTCAGCATGCCCACGTTTATGGCAAGAGACTTGCATTACTTCATGATTTATCTTGCACCAAAGACATGGATATTTGCCTGCAAATACAATTCTTATGGTGGAAACCTGTTTCACAGAAATAGTTATGTAGAGTAGAGGCTACATTTATATTCTTTTATTGAATTGCTAAATCATAATTATTTGTATATGTGAATTATTGTCTGGATCATACCTGAGGCACCAGCTATTCCAAATAGCTTGCATAGGAACTCATAGTCACCAAACAGGAAAACCACTTTCTTTTTACCTCTAGAAATGGGCAAAACAAAAATAAAAATTTAATTAATATTATGCTATTTCAAGTCTCTATTCTCCCAACTAACTAAAAGTGTGGTAAATTTTTTTTCACTTACGCCCAGGTTGCTTCTTTCAAGGTGTCTACTTGTTCTTTATATTTCATTAAGGCTGTCTTTAAATTAGCCCAACTATCTTTTGCATGGAACATGGCAAAGACCACTGTGTTGGTTTTAGAATTTGGATGCCTCAGGTTAGCAATCTGGAAGGCCATTTTAAATGACCCACCACCGGCATCTCCTCCAAGTTTTATGTGCACTTCATTTTCTGGGATTGCACTGTTCCATGTAAGCCTTCCATTCCTAAAATGATAACCAACTATAATTAGACTATAATTCACAGCAATAGGCAACAGCTAACTTTGTTTAATTTCAATCATTAATCTAGTGATTGCATTTACTTTTTTTAACTATTTCTTTATATCATACTTTTCATTTTCACTCAGATGAAGATGTATGAATTGGTTCAGGTCTGTAACATAACCAAACTCTGCTTCCCTGACCTCTGGATGGCAACCTGGTTTTTTTAATTCAAATGGGACCATTTCACAAACCAAGTTGGCCGGGTCAGTGATGGACTGAACTTGCTTTCGTTGACTTGTTTCACTTTCTGAGGATAGTCCCCATTGATCAAACCATCTGTAGAGACATAATAGTTATCATAATTTTGTAAGCAGATTGAGGGTATTCAGGCAGTTGGCAAATTTGAATACAAACTCAAAACAGTTACTGTTACTGACATCTAATGTCTTTGGAAAATCTGTGGGGTTTTTAATGATTTTTTTTGTTCATGTTTCTCTTACCTCCTAAGCTTTCTAACTTTGTACCATGTCTCACCAAGGTCTGCTTTCATTGCCAGGATGTCACCTCTTGGAATGGTGATTTTAAATTCCTTTCCCAAGGCCTCCTTCAGCAGTGCCTCCCTCTCTAGTCTGCCCATTGCACGCAGTTCATCTTTCAATTGGGTACCAGCTGCACCACCACTGACAGCTGTCCTGGTCTCTGCTACTACCTTTGATCTATTTCTAGCAGTTTTCCTTGTTACCTCATCAGTTGTTTTCCTTGCCCTGGTCCTTTTCACTAATTCTAAGGGCTGAAAATGAATTGTTATCTTTTGTTTTGAAAATGAATGTCTTAATTTTTATCTTTTGTTTTGAAAATGAATGTCTTAATTTTTAACTTAAAAAAATATTTTATTACCTGGCCACCTGTTTTGAGGAGAATGGTTGCCCCATCCTGAGACTGTGAAAGGAACTGTCTAATGATGAACAATCCAACTTCCTCCTTTAGGGATGTATAAGCTTCCTTTGGACTGGTTAGTAGTTGATCAACTGTCAGTTGTTGTCTGCAGGTTGTATTTGTATTAGTGGTGGTTGTAGGTTCTGCTTGTAGTGATGGTACATTTACCAGTGCTGGTCCCTTTTCCTCTGCTGCAGGTATGGGTTTCACTGGCGCAAGGAGGGATGGTGTCACTGGAACTGATCTTTGTGAAGGGGTTAAGAAGTGTGTGGGTGCTGTTGTAGGGCTTTGAATGCAACATTCTTGATGCTGAGGTAGTTGGTGAAGTTTTACTGTGTGTTTACAGGTAGGACATCGAAAATCTAACTCTGAAAGTATGGTGCGAAGAACAAAAGGGGCTGGCTCAATGAACTCATTAGGATTTACAATGACAGTTCGGCACACTGGGCAAAGGGATCCACACATTTCGAAAGAAAATGATAAGCAACTAGCACAAAATATGTGTGGAGTTCGACATTTTGTCTGGACTGGTTGATCAAGTACCTCTTTGCAAATTGGGCACATATACTCATGCTTGATGTTTTCAACAAACTGTTCTGGGTAAAGAGGTTCTGATCCTCTAAAGCTTTGTAGATTCTTTACCTCCTCAGAGAATGAAAGTGAGGCTGGGTCAGGTTGGAAGCTTAAAGTGCCAGACATTCCTTCCACCATTTCCACTTGTTGCTTGGGTTCAGCAGAGTCCTCTCTGGGTTTTATTCCAGGTTTAGTCTTCTTCTTCCTACCAGGTTTCTGTTGATCCTTAAAGAAACTGCAGATCTTACAGTTTCCAGTGCGTTTGTGTGGAGGCCACACATTGATTGCAAGGCGTGTGCCTCCTCTTAAAGCAAGCTTGTAACACTTGTGGCAGAACTTAGGAGGGCACATGTCAAGGTCATCTTTACGAACTCTGACACCAAAGGCTGTGAAAATAATCTCCGTCTTATCAGCGCAAAGAAAACTGTTCTCATACTTATCTTCTGCCTTCTTCAATCGCTCTCCACAAATTCGGCAAATTTTTTCCAATATTTGTTGATGTTCAGAGAGACCCAAGTTAGCCATCTGAATGCACTAATCGAACCGAGTTGTAAACTAAACTTGGATTAAGCAACGCAGTTCTAAGTTGACTCAAGATATGTTCCGAAGTTCCTTTTTCCGGCCTTTTATTGCTTCAGAAGGGTACACCCTTAGGGTTTGTACCTTGTTTCAGGAAGGGGTGTCTATTTATCTCTCTCGATCGGTTCTTTAGGGGTGCGGGAATATTTGCATTCTTGTGTTATTGCGTGTAGTTCATTCCATTTGAAGGGGGAGGGAATATTCGCCAAAAACCATGTTATTCACGGCCAAGAAAAACGATTTAACTATCAGATCAAAGCACAAATGGTAACATATAATTGTAAGGTTTATTATCCGTGATCATGATTGAAATGTTGACCGAAAGAAACGTCTTGTCCGTGCTTTCACTATTTCACGTAGCTCCCCGTGACAGATCGATGACATACACTTTTCGGGGAGGAAATCACACGCACGTAGTTCGACTTTCTTGCACGTAACAGAAGGCCGTGGACATTTTATCAGTTTGTCATACATCGTGTATTCTTTGTTTAGCCCATGAGTAAGCATGAGATCATTCAGAGGATAAATTTGCGTAGTTTAGGGGCATTAGTTCGAGGTCAAAGGGGAGATGGACGCCATATTTACTATTTCGGTGGTGATGTGTAATCGCAGATTACACCGCTCAAAACAATTCGGATTAAAACGTCATGGTAAAGAAACTGATGGCAAAGGAGAGACGTAAAGCCTGAGTTGTTCCTTTACTGAAAGAAAAATTCGAATCAATCAGAATCTTGCCTGAAAATAAGAAGACCTCAGAAAGGCGATAAGTCATCTCGCGTCAAAACAAGATGCCATTAAGCCGTCGCATAGTTAACTATCCCGCACACGCAATCTTCCCAAGGAGAACATTAACCAGGGAAGCAAAATACAATGTCTGCGCATAAGTTAGCTATTTCCTTAGGCTTTGCGCATATACTTTTTGCGACCTGGTTATCAGTGGGCTCTTTCTTGTTGAGCCGTTAAACGTACATTTTCAGCGGTTTCAAATTGAAAAGTCAATCTGACATGCGCGAACTAAATTTCCACTGGCGGGCGTTTTGAAACAGCCGTATATACCGTATTTACCCGTGTATACTAGTAGTAATCAAAGATTAATAAGTGCGTTAGAAGTTCAATGAATTTAGCTAAAATCATACAAAAACAGAGGAGGAAATTAGTTGAGAGATTAAATGAGAAAGACGAAGTATTTAAAGAGCAATAGCAACTTTAATAGTGTTTGTCTACAGTTACATGTAGAATAGTTATCTGTTGTTGTAAATTTTCTTTTCTGTATGTTCATGTAAAAAACAAATTTACTATAATAATGATCATTGGTATACCAGAATTTCCAGGTGTTGTAATTTCTACATAAATTAGTGATAAAAGAACTGTCTGGAAGATGTTGTCTTACAAAAGAATTGATTCTATTCCTAGACTTCGTATTACTTAGTGCCTTTAGAATTATTTTAACAGGAACGCGAGATGGTTCCCTGTCCCTTTTCCTCTGACAATTCACTCTTTTCTTACGAACTTCAACATTTTCAGAAATAGTTACACTATGATTTTCAATTTTCTCAGAAGAATAACTTGTCAAAGCCTTATCATGATCTTGTGAACTACAATCACCACTTATCAGCCCGGTAACCATTTGACTTTTGTCACTTTTCATTTGGCGCAATGGCCATCGAGCAGAATGACTCGGTTTATTTGCTTTGTGACCACAACGGGTCATTTGGCGCAATGGCCACCGAGTACAATGACTCGGTTTGTTTGGTTTGTATTTGTGACCGCTATGGGTCAAAGCACAATGGCTTGGTAGATTTGCTTTGAGACAACTTTGTGTCAGAGTTATCGGTTGATTTGCTTTGTTGTTCGGCAAATTCGAGGACATCAATTCAAAGCAGGAGAGCAGCGAAGGTCTTCGGTTTGTTGTAGTTCGGACAACGCCGACATCGGGCTTTCTACATGCTCTTGGAGTACTAAAAAGTTTCGTGGTAAGGCTTTGACAAGTTGAAGCGATGAACTTTTTAAGAAACATCGCATGAAGTTTGAGAAAAATAAATGAACTTACCGAATAATCCAAAGATATCCACGGAGGCGACACGGACGCACGAGCAGCTTGCACTCGCACAAGGTATAGTTGCGTGCGCACTCGCACGAGGTATAGTTGCTTGCGCATAAAAATAGTTGTGTGCGCAGGTCCACCAGGTGAGCCCGCAATTTCTTTGGCCGGCTATTGGGCTTAAAATTCGTGCGCGCGCTTAATAATTATTCAAAATGGCGCAGATTTTGAACATCGCCCGTCCAAGTAACCAAAAATCTCGAATCTTCACGCCTGGCATGCACAGGTATCCCATCGACCACAGGATCCCCAAAGATTACGAAGCGTTCTCCTAACGTCGAACGCAATTACGCGCCCATGTATAATACGCACCCCGATTTTTGACCAAATTTTTCATAAACAAAAGTTTTCAGAGCGAAAAAAAACGTTAATTCTTCCTACAACTGACGTTTTGCAGTGATAAGTTTCGTTACCATTTCGAATTTCTTATCGCTTGTGATTACAGTAATACGGTACGGTCGTAATGTTTATCTCGTCAGCTGTTTCTTAAATACTCTACTAAATTTATTTATGGATCGAAATTGAAAATGTTTCATTGGTAGATTATTTAACTCAAGCTAATAAAGACCAATTACTACGAGGCTTTCGTTACTTTCTTTGTTGTGTTTGTGGATCGAAATTGAAAATGTTTCATCGGTAGATTATTTAACTCAAGCTAATAAAGACCAATTACTACTAGGCTTTCGTTACTTTCTTTCTTTTGTTTTAACGTATGCAAATTAGGACGTACTTGAAAAACAATAGAAACCGTGTATAATACGCACCGCGATTTTGATGGTTATTTTCATAGAAAGAAAGTGCGCATTATACAAGGGTAAATACGGTAATTAAATTTGTATAAAGCATACGACTAGCAGGTTCTGCTGTCGCCGGCTAGCAGCAGAGAGAAGGGAAATTTCGTTGCGCATGCGCCAATGAATTTCGTTCGGTGCATTTGGTCCGTTCGGCGCCATTTTGGAATTTTCAGAGCGCTTTCACGGGTTTTCAACTGGGCGATCGACACCTTTTTGTCGTATGTTTTGGAAAGGGATGAAACAGTATGACAAGGTTACCACCTTTTCCAACTCTGTGGATACTCGTGGAGTTTACGGGCTCTTCGGATGAGGATATTTCAATGATCAAAGTGCGAAGTAAAGGCCGAAAACTTGAAGTTTGAGATTTGAATTACTGACAATCAAGATGTGCATACGAAAATACAAATCTTCAAGGTTCGTCTTAGGCCCGAAAACATGATGCCGACTCGAGTTTATTTCATGCATAATTAGTTGCGTGACGAACAAATATTATCGGCACGCTTGAAAACAAAACCTTGATGGTGACAAAAATAATCCAAAGATATCCAGCGCATCAGGAACAAATTTCCATTTAACACTAGCTTGAGCCAAAGGGAATTTTCCCATTTTAAGGGACTTGTTAGGCTCAATAGAACCGGAGATATCTATTTTTTTTCAGAAATCACCAACCCAGCTTTCTTTCAACAAAACAACATGGCGCTGAACGATCGCTCGCACAAAATGTGGCCACAAATTTGCATTCTGTCAAGTATGAAACGCTTAGATTTAGGCATGAGCGGCTAGTGTTTTTACTGTATAATTTTATCAGTAAAGAACATGCTAATATTGACACAATTGTGCACGCGTCTGAATTTCTTCGACCTCTAAACTCCACAAAGAAGCTTTAAAGCTTTCGAAAGTTAGATTAGACAACTTTTAGAAGACTGAAATGCATCACCTTAATGTCACGTTTTCGCCACCAAAAAGTTCAATAACATAACGTGCGTGTTATCCACCAGTGTGGGTAATCTGTTGACTTTTTTTCTTGCTGTATGCAATAATTGGCCGGTGCGGGTAAACGGCTGGAAATTACGGTAACTGAGATTTGTTTTTTAGGTTATAGGGTAGATAGTGTTGGTGATATTTTCATGTTTTTACCAGGAAGAAACGATCAATAGTTCTCTCATCCATAGATGAAACATGGTGAATGAGTGAGAGCTTACTTGGGTGTAAAATGAATGTAATTTTACTTTGATGTTATTGTCAAATCTGAGGATAAAACATGCATGAGGGACATCTGTCAATATTTTGTTGCTATGCCTTTGTGTCCTCAAGCACTCAGGGGATCAAAGTGTCAACATTTTAATAGCATGTTTTTTTTTTCTGCCCCTAGGTACAACAGTCAAGGTTCATGTGGTGCATCTAGAAAAGGAAAAGGTAGATCCATATGTAAATGTGCGACCACTGCTCAGTTCAACTGTGGGGATCTTTGTGATCTTATTCATGAAGTAAGAACAGTTTCTTTTTCCATGCAAGTCTCAGGCTTTTCTTACCTCCAGGAGACACTGTTCATTACTCGTTGGTCTATTTTGTGGTTCATCTCATGGCAACTTTCTCATTTAGTCTGTTTGCCTCTAAAAATGCTATGGTCATTGTTTTGTCTACAAGTTCTCAGGCTCCATTTACGGGTAGTTGAGAAAAAGTTGCTTGACCTGGTTGGGGAGGGGGGATTGGGACCCCCTCCCCCTTCATCTTTTCACCCTTTTTATTCTCCTTCTTTTGCCTTGTTCCTATTCTCTCCAAACAACACTTTGAGAGATTTAAGAATAGACTGCTCCATAAAATGTTATGTATATGTTTCACTGTTATTTAAAAAATGGATTATTATTTAATTCATGTGCAGAAATTTAATCTTCCTGTGGATTGGATCCTACAATGATCTGAAGCTGCTAGATAACCCAAGCAAAGTTCTAAAAGAACTTGGATTCTTCAAAAACAACAGGGTATTTAAATCACTCAAATATTTTTTCCAGATGAAATTGCATATTCTTCAATGCATGATGTAGCTAAGAGGAATGAGGTAGCACAGTCTTTTACACATGGGGTGTTTGGTTTGGCAAGGCCTCTCTGTTCAGTGCTTGGTCAACACACTTTATTCTCAGAGTGCCTCTTTTTACCTTTGCACATACAATATAATGTTGTCATGCTAGATTTCATGTATTTATTTAAAGAAATATAAGGTTTACAAAACTTCATGTCCTACAAATAGCTACAATGCTAATCTAGGCAGGACAAGACTTTAACTAAAGGCGTTATTAAATTACATAAGAAAAAAGAAAAGAAGAAATACAAAAACATACAGAAAGAAACACCTTACATATAAATTCAAGTACAAGGGATTTTATTATTTGAAAAAGACTAAAATTACAACTAGAGGTATATACAATATATCAGGTTAACTTCACAAAATATTCTATTAAAAAATTAACATTCAAATAATTATCTTCATTACCTAGAACATTAAGGAGTAGTGATTTAATTTTTTTACGAAAATTAGAAACGTTGAGAGTCTTAACAGAAAGTGGAATAGAATTCCAAATAGACACACCGATTCTAGTAAAAGATTTTTTAATTTTTTCAGTTCTAGAGAATTTGACAGAGAAGCATTCTTTTGCAGATAATCGTGTATTGTAATGATGTTCTGTATTGATTTTTGCAAACTTATCAAGAAGACTTTTAGGAGCTGTCTTAGCATGAACGTCATACATTAAATAGCTTAACTGTTGAAAGAACAAAGACTGCAAAGGAAGGCAGTTTGATTCAATAAAAAAAAGGATTGCATGGTCTCTGGGTTTAGAAAAATAAATCAAAGTAGAGCACGTTTTTGCAGAACAAGTATCTTATTGAGGTAGGTCTGTGGACAGTTGCCCCATGCACAGATACCATAATTTAAATAAGGAGAAATAAGTGCATGATATAAATTCAAAAGAAGACGAATGAAAGGCATTCTTTTTTGGTGGGGACGAAAAATGACATAATTAGACTTTTTGACGTTGAGCATTAGTTTGTTAGCATTAAGCCATTCACTTACTTTCTCAAGTTCATTATTGACAGTTAGTTCAAGAGTACGTAAGTTGTCATTTGCATAAGTTAGACTTGTATCGTCTGCGAAAAGATAAAAAGTAAATTCCTTGGAAGATTTATGGATGTCATTAATATATAACAAAAATAACAAGGGTCCAAGTACAGAGCCTTGAGGTACTCCACATACGATCGTTTTAGTTTCAGATATGCATTTGTCTATTTCAATAGACTGTCGGCGATCTGAAAGATATGATCTAAACCAAGAATTTATAACTCCTCTTATTCCATAGTGTTCAAGTTTTGTCAAAAGAATCTCATGGTTAACAGTATCAAATACTTTCTTAAGATCTATAAAAATTCCACATGAGTACTTTCTATTGTCCATATTAGAATGTATGGTGTTCACAATAATCAAGAATCGCGTGCTGGGTACTATGTTTATTTAAGAAAAGCCATATTGTAAATCACAAAGAATATCATTCTTGTCTATAAACTTTATCAGTCTACGATATAAAATTTTCTCAAATAAACGATTATAAATTGATAACAAAGAAATTGGCCGATAGTTTTCAGGCAACGTCTCGTCTTCACCCTTATAAACTGGAATTACTTTTGCATATTTAAGTTTTGCAGGGTAAACCCCAGTTAGTACAGAGTGGTTAAAAATTTTGGTTAATGGTATGGATATGACTGATTTGGCAAGTTTTAACAGTTTAACAGGGGTAGAATAAAGCCCCAGGGCTTTATTGTATGGCAACAAGCTAATTACTGTTTCAATTTCTTGCGGTATAATTGGATCAAAATAAAAACTGTTCTGCAAAGGTGGATCAAGATAATCAGAAAAAGTAGTGTTAACTTCAGGAATAGAGAAAGAGTTGAAAAGGAATCAGTTCCCTAAATCACTTAAAATCTGTTTTATCAGCAAATGGTGTGGAAATTGTGAGGAGGAGTTTGTCTGGTATCCCATTCAATAAATAGAAGGGGGGAGGGGAATAATCTTCCTAGCTGTTAACTGGTATGGCATACTGCAGTATAACTTTTAGCTGCATGCGCCCATTTGCTTGAGTTAAGACTTGTGGCCTTAAGTTTCTGCTTAATATGAACCTGCAGTCAACTCAGATTAAGTTATTGTCTGGTACAAAATATTTGCCTTGGATAACATAATGAATGTTTGTGGTTATATTCCACTAGGTGTTTGTAGAAGCTTCTGATGAAGAGGAAGATGTTCAGTTTAAAGATTCCAAACTGTTCAAAGTCGTAGATGTATTTCAGCACACTATTCAATTGTTTGTTTTATTACCAGATCCATCTACAAAACCATCAGGTATGTGGGGCCTTAAAGATTGTTAGTTGAACCATATGTGGCTACTTTGTAATCTGAGAATGGAAGGATTTTTATCTTCTCTGTATACATCTCTATTACATCTGGTTATGTAGTTCATTAGCTTGGTTTGAAAAACAAGATGATGTCATTAATGTTTTGGGATCATGATAATTCCCAATTATTACATTGATGTTTGAACAGAGAACTCCTTACATACTAACACGCGTGTAACAACCTCTTGCCCATAGAGCACACAAGCAGATATATCTGTGAGACTGCAGTTGATTCAGAAAAGAATGAAAAACAAAGAGGTGAGAAGTTGTGTCAAGAGTACAGAGATACAGTTATGGTAACATAAGTCTTCATTAACTAACTCTTGCACTTTCCTAGGAAATAATTGCAAGCCATGTTTGATTTTTAGAAAAACTTGTCCGAGTGGACAAAAGAATCACCCTCGGAAAACTGAAGGAAATTCTGAAGAGCGATGTTGGATGTGCACCAGAGTTTTTTAGGGTAGGTACTAGAGAATGTCTTTAGTTTATGTTATTTACCAAACAGAATTAGAGATGACTTGTGAAGTTGCAATCATTTGCTGGTGGAGAACAGGCATAAACCAGAGTTTCATTTGAGATGTCATTGATACTAGAGGTCTGTTTTTCATGATCATAGGTTTACAGAGTATACTCAAACAACCAAGAAATTGAGTACAGCAAGTTAACTGACCCACTTACAAGCTTCAGTGATGATTCTAAGGTTGGTGCCAATGCAGAATTTTCCAGGACAGTGAAATGTTGCTATTTTCATGGTAGTTTCAATATTGTTTTTCTGTTTGAGTGACACATTGGTAGAGTTCATTTTAATATACAGTTTGAAAACTGTCAGAATCATGTAGGCTGCACTTTTAGATACTTATTTTGTTGTAAATGATGGCATTATTATATCGATAGGTTAATTCTTGCCCTTCCTCATTTTCTTCTACATGTTAAATTAGTAAAATTGTAAAGGAACATGGACTTGCTGTGGTCTGGTTCATTTTACATTTATTCACCAGCTGAATGGTGGAGTAAGATCATTTTATTGACAGTATCTACATGAAACAAACACAACCTTTTAAGCTTTTGTGCTATCTAGCGATTGACTTTATTTGTAAAGTATGTTTGCACTTTGCTGGAAAATTATGCTCTACAGCAATCTTTAGTAGACGTTACATTTGTAGTGGATATGAGGCATTCAATTCTTTCTGTGCTAGATACGAGTAAAGTACAGTCGTGCCCTCAAGAAAGGGGAACATCAGCTTAAAATATTTCTACTAAATCCTACAGAAAAGGAGGTGAGGGTGATTTGTTACAGAGAATTTGTTCTGTATATCTATTCCTGGACTCATTGCGCAAGTTCTTCCTGCATTCAATACAATTGCTACAATCCTTTTTCCTGCAAATAATTAGCATAAAATTCCTTCCTAACTATCAAAGTTGAGCTTAAACTATGTTTTATAACAATATCAGTCTATAATAAAACTTTATAGTTGGTGTCTGGAAAAGAATTTTGACCCACAGTTTGGCCACTGATTCCTTTTGGGAGAAGAGATAAACTAAGGCTACTTTAAAGCAATAGCGCCCTTTAATTACATGTCATGATGATGATTAGTCTTTGCTGAAGGAAATGAATTGAATGATAGTATCTGTTTCACTTCTAGCCTTACAAGTACTTTTGTGACTGGATTGTAACTGATGGTATGTCAGTGAAACAATGCAAAGAACTTTTACAGCCAGAAATCTGCCAAAGATGTGGTATTGATGTACCTGTTGAAAAGTAAGTTTAATCATCACTCTAAGATTTTCAGTTGAAAGGGTACACTTAAAGGTAAAAAAATTTTTTTCCCACCTCCACTGAATGTTAATATGAATTAACACAAATATTATTACTATGAATTAATATTTATTAGTTAGTATGGTTAATTAAATATGGAACCCTTCCAGCTGGTTTTATGCCTGTTAAACAGCACTTGTTTATTTTGCAGCAGATACGGCCTTGTTACTTCCTTGTTCATTTATTTGTTTTTGAAAAAACTTAAAAAGAGTTAAACTGTTAACTTTTTGTTTTGTTTTCCTTCAAATAAGGAATTTTTTTCTCTTTTATCTCTTCCTTTTTTTATTTTTAGTCTCAGGATGAGAAGAAAAAACTGGAAGAATCCTGCTGCAGTGTATGTTGATTCTCAGGTGTTTGAAGACCACATTCAGGTGTATGCAAGTTTTGAAGTTTTCCTGGAAATATTAGAAGGTGTGTGAGTTTGACTAAGAATTTTTATCAAATCACCACTTTAATAATTTCTGTATCTCCTCTTGTCAGATGACACACTTGACCATCATATTTTTTGTTAACCCCTTAATTCCTCGATATAACTGACAATAATTTCTAACTGAAATTTCATTAATTTTGACTTACTGTTTCTTCGTTTCTCTATTTTTATTGTGTTCATTAATCGAGGTGTGGAATTTCAAGTGTGAGGGTTTAATATGCAAAAGTAACTCTGAGTTATAATTATAGTTAATAATTTTGTGTCATTTCACTGTTCTGAATCCCCAAATTGTTCTTTTACATAGTATGTGCATCATATAATCACTTTCCAAAACAAAATATATCCACAACATCCATTTTTCACTCTTCTAGGCCCTGAATTAATGACTTCAACAGACCAGCTTTCAGTCTATGTGCGCCATTGGCATCCTTCAACTATAACACTTGACCCTCCCAAAGAGGTTGTTCTGCAAGACAGTGTAGTTGACGAACTGAAAGCTGCAGTAAGTTGGGATTAGTTAGGGCATGTTATTCATCAAAGAATTCTTCAATGGATTGAGGGTTTTGTGGCTAAGGCAGCAGTGTTTCATACTCACAGTCTGATGGCCCTCAAGGTTTAGGGTCACTCTGACTCTTAGTTAGACTTGGAACCAGAACTGAAAATTCTTTCCAGTGATACACATGTGTTTTATATTTTAATATGGAGGTGTTTAAAGGTAAAGAGTTCACTTTTGGAAGGAGATGGCTTAGAAGGAAACTTATGGTGGCTGTTATTGCCTTTTAAAAAAGAATAGATCATGAAATAAGCACTTTGGTGGCATGGGCATTTGAACACTATTTTGGTCTAGAGGGTTGGGAGTTTGAACAAACCAAGCTTCAAAAGCTCAAATGCGCAGGGGGTCCTTGGGAGGATGCTGAAGCTTCAAATTGGTTGACACATAAGTATGCATACCTTGGAGATAGTCAACTGTTTTTTATTTTATGTCTTCATGATTCATATTTACATTTGTGCTTCCAGATACTATAACATTTTCATTTGACTTTCCAAATTGATTGCTGTAGTCTGTGATATTAATAGATTGTAATTGTGTATTTCTCTTTCAGGTTAGCAAACTTGGTAGTGTTCCAGAAGAGAATTTAGAGTTGTGCAAGGTGAAGATTATTCAAGATTTAGGGTCAAATTAAAATCTAAAATTACTCTACCAGGATTTTTTTAGTTTTCTGTAGTTTACCATATTTTGGGAGGCTAGTTTGCACAATTTTATAGCAATTTCAGCACTAACCTTTGTTATAATCATGCACAGATGTAAAGCTACCATGCACACCACTTATTTAAACATCAACTTCTTTGAAAGTCTGTTGGTTCTTTGACTCACCAACACCATGGTGTTGGTGAGTCATGCTTTAACCCTTTCAATCCCAATATCGCATTAATAATTCTCCTTACTTTCTGCCATTAATTCTCATGATTGTAGTTTGGAAAAAATGTAGCATTTTAACAACTTATAATCCCCTACTGATATTTTCCTACAATTTCATCGCTTTTCTGCTTGATATTGCTATTGTAAAGAGAAATTCTGTTTTGGTCATTCATGGGAGTTTGAAAGTTGAGAAGTTTCACTGTTAACCAAAGATAACCACACGGACACTTTCATAGTGTGGGAAAGTTATATTTGATTTCAATACCTCACACAAAGTGTAGGAGTTGACATAATTTTTTTGCTACTTTCTTAAGAACTTTGAGAATCCTATTTCTCTTTGTAACAAAAAAAACTTAAGGGGGTGTTTCCCTTGTAGGGCCGTGGACACTTTCCTTGTGAAATGTCTGTTTTGGAGATTCATGATGAGTGTGACTGGTCAAGTGACTTGACATCCCTTAGAGCAAGTCCTCTGTTGATAACTGATGATGGAGCAGTGGTGTTTTTCAGGTTAGAGTCTTTAGTTCAGAGGAATGGAGGGCTTAAAATGTTCTGGATGACAATCTATCTGTCCTTGGCAGATAGATTGTTCTCAAAATTTCATATTTGCCCCTGGAAGCTTGGCTTCTTTGCTTTGCTTTACGGCTTTGTTTTTCTGCTCTGCTTCCTTTTCAATTTAGTTCAAGATTTAACTGTCAAAAGTTCCCACCTTTAAAAGTTACACTTCATCCTTTCTGTAGGGATAAAACAGAAAAGCTCATGGAAATAACAGAAGAAAAGAAGCAGGAAATCATAAAAAAAGAAAATGCAAAGTAAGAATTTCACCCTCTCATGATGACGTCATGTTTTACTTATCCAGAAAAGATTACAGCCACAATGATGTACAATCAATTTTTTTTGTGTGTGCAGCATTTCACTAAAATAAAATTAATTTTTATGTTGTCTTTCAAGTGGCAGTTAGGAATATCTGGTAATACTTTATGAGGTAGTAATCAAGGGAAGTTATTTTAGCCCTGTAATCCAATTCAAATGAACAACAGTAGATTAACTGTAGCCAAATCACAAGCATGGTGTTCTATTTTGGAATTGACCCTTAATAACTCTCAAGATCTCATTGTTAATTGTCTGCTCTAGCTGCTACACATTTCCTTGTAAATTAGTTAAGAGAATTTGGTATTAGATAAAGATGAAAATTAAACTTCTACCTGGAACGTGCGAGTACTCTCATCGCCTGTCTGCTGGATAACATATGAATATTATATAGAGAAGTTTCATGTGAACTCCACTTCCAGGAATTAACAAATGTATTCTTTTTATCATCATACAGGAGCAACAACTCAAATACAAGAATTGGAAAATTTTCTTACAAGGAAAGAGCTCTAAAAATTTACACTGATGACAACAGACCAAGCAACTGAAAAGAAAGAGAGTACTTCTCAATTAACCAGGGTTGAAACAACTCAAGAAACGCACAACCACTTGCATTGATAGAGAGATGATGGACTGTGCAACAATATTGATAAATATTATGGAGTTCCTAGTACAATCAATAATGGATTGGGAAAGAACACAGAACAATGAGATACAGAAACAATTCTGTTTGATTGACAGTAGCCCTTGTAAGTCAATAGTTTTGTGCATGGAAGGCAGAGAGGATGTCTAAAATTCCCATGAAAAGGGGCCTAGGGATCATTAGCATTGTGTTTTGTAACCTCACTTTTTGCATAAACTTATTGATGACTGAAGTGACCCTGAACTAACTCACCTTATCTTCAAATGCAGAGCTTCAATTATTTTAAGTCAATAGAATTTTCATTACAATTACAATGTAGTAGAGGACTTTGCAACTTAAACTACAAACATAAGACCTTTATTTCTACCATTTAGTTCACCTCATGGTTAATTTTGGTCTACACAGTTCTTCTGAGCAGAACATGTACAAATGGTTACAGAAGAGCTTTTTGATACTTTTCCTCCTAGAGAAAAACATTGGGAAGTTTTCTGATGTGCATATACTCAAAATCTGTTTTCTGCAGAAAATAAAACAAAGTCTGCCCTTATAATCTAGGATAAAACACAAATATTTCACTTGATCTATTCCCTGCAGTCACAGTTCTTTTCAGAAGGCTTTCAAGAAACATGTATGATACGTGTACATTCCAGTTTTCAAGCTTATGGAAAAATAGTTTTTGCTCAAGTATGTAATCTTATACCAAGCTCCAAGAGCTAGGTTTAGTGTAATTTAAGAGGTGGCTGATGAGTCAAAACTGCAACTTGGTAAAATCCATTCAGGAAACTCAACATTGGTAGTTACTCAATGAAAGATGCTGTAAAACTGAAGTTCTTGATTGTAATTAGAGAACATTTTGATACTAGCAGTGTACTTTATTATCTAACGCTGAAGGGGAACTGCAACACCAACAAATGGGCAATTTTACCTCTACCTTACAGAGCAGTAATCTCCTTGGGGTTTTCCACTATTTGCATTGAATTTGTGTGAATTACTTGCAAAAAATGCTAAAACAATTATGGTCAACTTCTGCTTGCTGAGCTCTACTTGTATTTGCTCATTCAGAGTAAAAGAAATATTTCTCACGACATCAGCACTTATAGGAAGTTTGACAAATGAACTGTGGGTCACTGAAGATTTTTACAAAACATTTATCAGATGTTGTGATTTTTTGTTACCGGTCTCTCATAATAAAACAATGAAAGTATCATTTACAGTAACTGTAGTATGTAGATTAGTTTCAAATTGTCTTCATGTTGTGCATCAATTTTTCTACTATTACTATCATCTTTACAATTAAATTTCAATTTAGGTCAAGCTTCAATCAAGATGCTGTAAATCTTGAAAATAAACAATCTTAAGTCAACAACAAAAACAATTAAAAGCTCTTTCTGTAAATAGGGAGGTGTATTTGCAGTTTCTTGTAATTTTTTTGCAGCTATTGTTTGAAATCATTAGAACCGGCACCCACCCCTTATTGCTAAGTTAAAATTTTCGTTAATACTGAACAGTAGGAAAAAGCACAAAAGTTGAAGCATAAACAAGAGACACCACTTGGAGGGATAACTGTTTTATTTTGACTTTCCCATTTTTGTTTTCACAGCCCCCACTGCCTGAGAATTTAGCAAACCTAAGGCTATTCTAAATACATGAAGTTATCAAGGAGGGTGAGGATGAATGGTGATATCCACCCAAACAGTACATCAATGGAAACTTATACTCAACAAATACATGAACCTTTTTCAATACATCACCCAGTTTTTTTGTTTCAATAAATATTAACTTTTAAATACTATTAAATATATGATTTAATTAAGAGTTCAAATTTTAAAGTTACCTCCCTGAATAATTTTCCTGCTCAAATGTATTTTTCAGCTATAATTTACCAACAAATTTAAAGACTTAAATAGTGATCAATCATTCAACCAAAACTTTGGCTAGTGGGACCCTAATGAGAGTGAAAATATTCCACTGGCCAAGCTCAACTGCAAGTAACAAGAATTTTAAGACACTTATGTCAATTCATCTCTGGGATTTTGGCCTTTTTCTCTATTCCAAGCATTACAGCAAAACCTTATACTTGTTACTTGTGACACTTCCATTTGGAAACAGTTTAGAAGAGCTATTTCTTTTCACAACTGTCCATTTGGAAACTGCTGTAAAAACAAGTCATTATGGTGTTTCTGAAAAAGCTTAAGCTGCTCCTCCTTTTCTTTTACACTCATTTGTCGGTTTTCAATGATAAAGAGCATGAGCTTGTTCAAGGCTTCACCTGTTGTTTGCTTTGCTTGCATTCTGTATTCTTCAAGAGACATTTGTTGACAAACAGTGGAAGGCAAGGATGGGCAAATATCCCTCTGAGCAAAGAAGATATTTCTTTTCAATTTCTCTTTAAGTTCAGATGGTACTTTGAACATGTGGCACTGATTCCTCACCATTAGTGAAACCAATTTATGGCCTGACCCCTATGAGAGAGAAAAAATTCGATATTTCCATCAAGTGAGGCTCATGTTATATGCAGCACTTATATGAGCCAAAGAGCAGCCCAATTACACCTGTTACACTTCCATTCCACTGCAAGAAACCTAACCAACAAAACACTAAAACAATAAGCATGTCTGTGCCCAAGTAGCAATAAAAATTGTCACGTCCTCAGAAAAATTGGCAACAAAAAGTAACTCCCAACATTTCTTAAAAAGTTTATATGTACTTTCCACTTCCCAAGAAATAAAGAAACTTTGTTGAACCCCCGACATATTTTTAATGTTGGATCCCATTAAAATCAATTCATACTGGCAGTCACTGGACTCCTCTCATATGAAGGATTCAAAGCAATGTACCTGATTCTGTGAGGTTGGTCGTGATTGTGAAGTTTAAGGTAACTTAACTGCGCATTTTATACATTTAAAAAAATAAATAAATAAATTAGCTTCAAACATTTCCCCATCATTCATTCAGTAGGACAAAGACTAAATGCAACTCACTTTATCTTTAACATCTTTTGGTAAGATAGCACTCATGAACTTCTTCACAATAAACCTTCCATTGCTTGTTCCCTCAGTTGTTCCAATAAAAGTCAACAAATGTCTAAGGTGTTTCCTTTGACTTTCTCCAAGCATCATAACCAACAGTGGCAGAAACTTTGCAGTCTTTTTCCAGTCTTTGACAAGAACTGAGAGAATACCATCCACCAAGTTAGTTAGGTTCGAAGGAATCAATGAGTCCTCTAGTGATCCATAATATTCTGATAAAAGCTGGTGAATTTGTGCTTTATCAATGCTCTTCAAATTTGAATAGCTGTCTTCACCACGCTGTGCTAAAGGACATTCTTTTTGCAACTCAATGCACTCCATGCCAGCTCTAACCCAAACATTGCTTGACTTTGAATTGCTGATGTTCTCCTTGTTTTGGCTATCATTATGAATACAAGGTTCCTGGACACTATTGTGGATTGCTAGAAATCCAGTTCTCCTATCTGTCAATGGCAAGGTCAATATGTCTTCAAGGAAAGGAATATCGGTAAGTCTAAGGAGTTGTGATAGAGCCACTTCAAACCACACTTTGCTTGTCAAATCTGCTTGATCAGTTGAATCAGGGAACATGGTTGACTTGTTCTTTCTGTGCGAAGACAGAATTTCAGCACAAATCAACAACTTCACTTAATAATGCTGCCACACAGAACATATAGCCTTGGACATAATAAGTTGATTATTAACACGAATTCGAGTCTCAATTGCCATATCTTTTTAATATAGGAAAACTTTGGTTTAGCAACCAAAACTACTTCTAGTTACACTGAGATATCCACCAATGCCCTACAAAGCAGAGTCGCATTTGAATCTTAGGCATGGAAGTTTCTTTACAAGCCCGGTGGCTTCCTGGGTCTTCTAGCCTTCTAGCTATAACCGCTGTAAATAAATTGTTTGTATTTTGTAAATAAGGCAAATAAAAGACGAAAACTAAAATTCAATTAGTAACATTTTGTACCTCATCATAAGACCAGGGTCAAGACTAAGCCTTCTTCGTTTCTTTGGTGCTTCATGTGTCCTTGTGTTAAAAATTTCAGGAGATTCTGAGGACATGAGAAGATCAGCGAATCGTTTTTGAGCCTTTGGTGTAAAACTCACTGACTTTCTCCTGCTCGCTGGCTTCCTCTCCTTTTCACCAAGAAGACTCCTCTTTCTATTTACTTTCTGTTTCTGTTGAAGGGGGGAAGGAAATACGTGTTCCAGGGGGCCATCTCCGGACGAAAATCTGTACAATTTGTTGTTTTCCTCGAAGGTGTCTCTTTTACTGCTGTCAACACAAACACACTCGATTACTCTTTTTTCCACCAAAATCTGACATAAAGATTTGACCTGGGAGCGAGTGGCTTCTTTAGATAATAGTGGATTGCTCTGAATGTAAGAATGGAGTACTTCAACAACATCTCCACCACGAAAACAATTCTCGTAATACTGAAACTTCCACCGCCTTCGACGTGGCTCGACTTGGGTTCGAAGATGTGCGATGAGATCGTTCCAAATTTTCGTTGCTCTGAAAGGCTTGTGCTCAGCTACATCTCCATTACCGCGGTAGTTTACGGGTTTGTTTTCAGTCATAATGCCTATGGAATTTCAAACCCTCAAAAGGAATCTCTACGCCGTTGGTAAACGCCGCGGGCACAAGTAAAAAATTTAGAAAGTTTGAATCAACCGCCAAGACATGTGACAAGCTTAATTTGCATATGACGAGAAATACTGGAAAAGACAACAATAAGTTGTCCTCTACGCTGTCGTAAGCGATACTCAATTTGTTACAACACTGAGGAAATCTTTCTACATAAACCAACTTGGTCAGTTGAATGACCTCTTTATTTCCATGTTAAAAATGCATTTTTCAGGAATTCTTAATAAATTGAGGGGGGTCCCAGATTTGGTCCCTCAGTCTACAATGGAAGCTGCCCCCATGGTGCTTGTGTGTAAACATATGGATGCCGCTTAGGGAAAAAGCTACAGCATTAAAATAAACCACATCATTTCTGACAAATAAACAGACAATTGCTCACAATAAACAATACTTTAATAGATAATTTTTAAGTTTTGTTACTTGTACCATAATGGAAAGGACTTTTGAAAAGTTGTATCCTAGAGATGAGAAAAAACTTGGTTAGATTCTTTTCAAATCACCATGTCAATTCTCTGAGCTGTCACTCAAAGCCCTCTTTCATCTACTTTCTTCTGATGTCTCTCTCTTATCAATTTTCTCTTCCTTCATTCAGACTTAGTTAACTGAATTGTATTGAACACATCCATAGTTGACTCAAGAGGTGGAGAAAGGGGCAATCTCTTTACTTTGGCTGGCCTGTTTTTCCTTCTTCTGTCTCTCTCTTATCAATCTTCTCTTCTTTCGTTCAGACTTAGCTAATTGCATTGTCTTGAACACATCCATAGTTGACTCAAGAGGTGGAGAAAGGGGCAGTCTGTTTACTTTAGCTGTCCTGTTTACAGAAATTAACAAAGAGAGGGGCATTTTGAGTGCTTCAGCTGTCTTGATTAACCAAAACTTAATTCACCAATGATAGAAAATCATAATAATTCATAAGATATAAGTATCTCAAAAATTTTCTTGAGCACTACATCCTCTCAAAGTTTCTGTTGAACAGAGTGGAGCCCTTGACCCCTTTTATAGCCCACCTGTGACTAGTTTATTACAGTATCAACACTGAATCAAACATGAAAGTCAGGAGAATAAAGTAAATGACAGCCAACCTATGAGGCTTTGATTGTTAAACAAATTCTCTTTGTCAGTACCAAAAGAAATGTGTTGAGAAGAACAGGGTAATTTAGTGTAATCAACTGAGTTGATAATGAAAATAGGCCATCGCAAAGAGTTTCAAAGCTGATGTGTTGAGCTTTAGCCCTTTGTCAGAGCGTCCATTGGCTCTGAAGAAGGGCTAATGCTCGAAACACCAGCTTTGAAACTCTTTACAGGGGCCTATTTATGTTATCAATTCAGTTGATAATACTAATACGCTCCCTCCAATGCAACACTACAGTAACTTTTGAAACTTAACCCCTTAATTTGTTTGTATAGAGAAGAGTATGGATAATATAGATACTCATATTAGGGTGTAAAGGCTTAAGGGTAAGCTTTCTAGGGTCAAGAAGATGTGGCTGTTGAAGAAAGGACACTGCACTCATCCCAAAAAATATTTAGGAAACAAGACCAGACTCAGCTTTGACCAGTGGAAGGGTAAGTAGACATCCCAAAGAATATCATTCTAAAGTAAATGTGAAAATAAAGTTAATCCTCAGCCTTCCCTTTTCATTTCTCCTCTACAACACAATAGCACTCACTGATTCCTCACTTAGTAGACTGTATTAGAATTTGGAGGATTTAATATAGTTATTATTGCATGCCAAATATGTTCAGTGGTTCAAATGCTTGTTTTGGTTTAAAATTTTTTGACGTACAACAGTTATGATCAGAGCCTTGAATAAGCAAAATAAGAAATTTAATCTTTTGAAAACCAGATTCAATTTCCAACCCAAGGAAAAAATTTAAGAACAGTGAATGCAAGTCTCTTCCAGTCCTTTCTGGTTTGATGACCAAGATGAAAAATCTACATCTAATGCAGACAAATTTGAATTATAACAAGTTGAGTTCATAATTAATTAATATAATTATTTTGCCAGAGAGAGAGAGAAAGTAATGGGCAGACCTCACAGTCAGTTGATAGGAAGTGTTGGCAACATACAAGCAATTACATCATACCTCTTCATTTCTTTATATACCCTGAGTGATATCCAAGCATCTGTGGCAGCATAGAATAATTGCCTTTCAGTTAATTTTGTCTGTGACCAGTTAGACCTTCCAACTTTTTTAGATAGCAGCTCATCAAAGAAAATAGCACACATAGCTCTTAAGCTCAATGGGTAGCAGTTCATTTCACGGGCCCAGATTAGGGTGTCTACCATATTGTTTATGCACTCTCCATATTGATTCTGAATCAAGCTTGCATCAAGAGAGATGGCATGCCCCACCTGTTACATGTGGAAAAAAAAAGTCATCTCCAAATTCTAAATAGTAAATATTACACAATGTCTTCTAACAAAAGCAATGGGTCCATTTTAGATGCCTTAATCAGCATACTGGTGTTAAAACAAATCTATTGACTAAAATTGAAATCTACCATTAAAGGGAGGAATTTAATTTCCTTGATTAATTATATCTCACCATGTTTGAGCTGTGTATTTACAATTTGAGAAGATATTATGAGATCAAAAAGATGCTAGCCTACTAACAACTCAGAAATTACATAATATTATCACAGAGAGAATATGGATTAGTCACTCTCTCTCTCTTCTTCTTTACCTCCTATTGGAATATAAGAGATTGCACATTTAAAATTGGTTGTGTAATAGCTCTTTTCGTGACTTTTTGTTCAAGTCTGTAGGAACTTTGTGCTGCAGATATCTTCAAATACACATCAAACCTTGCCAAAAGGGAAAGAAATGTCCATGATAAGTTTATAAACCATGCACCTAGAGAATACAATGCCACTGAGGTCCACCTTGCCAGCATGCTTCAAGGAACGAGGCAGAACTCAAGAAGGTGTATTGTGATTCAATGAGATGTAAATGAGTGACCCTGTATTCTGTAGTTTTACCCTATAAACTAACTATTGTTTAGAATACATAATTATTAATATTGATAATGAATGTATCATTATTCATTCTCCTAAAGAGAAGGTATTCTTTTTTAAACATGGCCAGGGTTTC